AGTATTTTCTGCTAAAGTACAGTGTGGATGCTGAATGACTGCAGAAATTAGGTGAAGAATGTAAAACTGAGTTGTTACAGCTAAAAGCAAAAGGCTAGCTGAAAGTTAAAAAGTAGCTAAAGGCTAGCTAGAAGCTAAAAGAAGCAAAGGACTAAGTTAGTAGAATGGTAGCTTAAAGTATCCATAAAAAGACATTCATTGAGACAGTACATTGAAGCGACTTAAACACAGAACTATATTTTGAAGGGAATGAGGCGATCTCAATGCACTTCTATAGGGAAAAATACTTGTAAATAAAGTTAAATATTTCGAAAAATATAAAAATTTATAAAAAGTCAAAAGCCTCAATGTTCATATTTTGAATGAACTGAACGTTTCAATATATGAATGACTAAAATAGCTTAAAGTATGTAGAAGTAGAAGATTGAAAAAAGTATGGGGAAACACATTAATGTATCTTACCTTTTGACTGGGATCATTCCCACATCTGCATAAAAATAAACATGCAATGAAATAAAATCTGATACTGGAGGGGTTTTATGTTTGTTTAATTAATTAATCTGACGTACGCCGAACTTTGAGTGACACGATCTTCTTGGTCTTGATGAGACTGATGACTTCCTCGTGGATACAGGAGGAGATGGAGTACCCGTTGATGCGCACAATCTCATCCCCCACCTAGAAATCAACACAGAAATGGATATTAAAGATGACGGCTTCAGTTTCAATGTGTCTGTCAAGATCAGAGATTGAGTTTCCAGTTTGCTGAACACAACATGATCCATTAATTTGTGTGATCGGTTTTCATTTCACGATGAAGGTAACACTCTTCCTCACTAAACGGATTTGCAGTTGGTTTACTTTCTCAGACTCCATCATGCTGAGAAGATGAAGGGAAGGAATATATTGACTGTCTCCTTTGAATCAGAGCTCCAAATTGGATTTCCTAACATTCCCCATTTGTGTTTAAAGGAGGGCACATTTTTAAAAGACTCTTCTATATTTATTATCCTTAAAAACAGTGATCTGCCATACAATGAACATATTTATACACAAGTTTTGAATAGAAAATGTATTGCATGTTTGCTTTATTAATCTATCAAAGCACAACAGATCAATGGAAGCACAAATAATGTAAGATTATATTTTATAAGCCACTGAAATATAAAGAAAATGTTATACTTTCTTTAAAAATGACCTACATCAACCTTTTTTATGCAGACAGTGAATCAGTCATGCCATGAAGTTTGTTTTGTTTGGTTAAAAGTTAGACAGCAATGAATACTTTCACTCCCTGCTTGAACTCAACCATTGACACCATTTAGGGATGTTTACTGTTTAAGTCACGGTGGTGTTCTGATTAGCATTATTAGACTTCAAATCCCAGCCCTGTTTTTAAGTGCAAAGTTCCTATGTTCTCGTGTCTACGTGATTATTCTCCAAGTAGTCTGACTTCCTCCCACAATCCAAAAACGTGCATTTGAAGTCAAACTTGAACGTGAAGTGAACCGTAGCCATAAACCTCAGCCAGCATGGATGTTTCTCTGTTTTGTTGCCATTTGAACCAGCAACTTATTCAAGATTTACTCTAAATACAGCTGAGCTGGGCTCCAGCTTCCCTTCAATCCTGAACAAGATGAGAAAAATAAATGTATCATCCTTTATTTTGTGACTTTGACTCAAACTTTTTTGAACTATAGTGTTTTATTATTCAAAGACAGCATAAATCATAAAGATAAATCTTATACAGGGATAAAGTCTGTTGGAGTCAGCCTCCCCACCATCACAGACATCTACACCTCCAGATGCAGGAAGAGGGCCCCCTACATCATGAAGGACCCCACTCACCCAGCACGCACACTTTTGCCCCGCTCCCCTCAGGAAACAGGAGCATTAAATGTAGAACCACTAGACTGAGGAACAGCTTCTACCCTGAGGCTGTTAAACTCATGAATCTCTAACCAGAATAATCACTGTGAAAAATCACATTATGTTGCTGCTGATCTGTTTCATGTTGCTGCTGATCTGTTTCATGTTGCTGTGTTCGTTCGTGCTCATCTGCTCACACAGACTCATGTTCGTGCTGCTGTTCGGTGTATTGTTTTTATACTACCAGTGCTTAGTGTATTTTTAGTTAACGTTTTTCTTAGTTCATATCTTAGATCTTATTACCGTTTTTCTTTTACATTTTATACTTTTACTGGATGTAACTGGGACCCTGTGTACACAATTTTGTTTCATGTGGTGCGTATGACAAATAAAAAACCTTGAATCCTTGAGTCCTTGAATAACTATGCTTTCTGTCTGATCTACATTAATGTTTTCAGGTTTTTTCATTTTTTTGTGTGAAGAGACCCCAAGATGAACAGGACTATCAGATACAAACCACTGGTAAGTGGGAGTTTAAGAAACATGATGTTGACCCCATCTAGTGGATCCTGCTGATATGATTCTCAGGAGCTCCAGGACACACAAAATAATAGAAAATGAGAAAAACTGACTAATGTAAACAAAAAATGAAACACATAGAAATACCTTAAGTAAACATTTGTGAACTGTGTAATTAAAGAAAAGTGGTATTGAATACCTAAAAATATTAAATCCTCTGCTAAATATTAAGCTGCTTTCATTTTATACTGTGCATTTAGAGTTGAAAAGTATAAAAATACACTATAATAAACTAGAAACAATTTAGGCATGTTGACCTAATAAGTACACACCTGAAGACCGACATTATCAGCTTGGCCGTCTTTCACAATCTGGGATATGTAGAGTCCAGAACCAAACTCTAATCCTCCTCGGACGCTGAGGCCCAGCCCGTCACGGTGTGTTCGATCCAAACGCACCTCTTTCAGCTTCCTGAACCAAAAAGATTCAAAACGAGAAGCCTGTGAGCTGTGTAAAAATTAAACATGGAAGCCTGTGATAGTACCAGCAGGAAGTAGAATATGACTCTGTACTCACCGTGACCTCTTGGGGGTGAGTTGGTCGTACTCCACTTGGTGTTTGAGAGGGATGAGAGGTCGGATGGCGTCAAACAGAGGAAGCCTCTTTGGTTCGTTGATTACCAGCTTCAGGTCTCCCACCAGTACAGGCAGCTCCATCGACCTGAGAGAGTGAGACAATAACAGATGAGCAGCGGTCCACTCCACCTTCTACTTCAAACAGAAAAGAATGAAAGACAGGGAAGTATAGGTACATGTTGCAAAATGGAATTAAAAAGCATCTTGAAAAACCAAATTTAAAGGTAAAATGAAAGTAATTTGAAACTGACTTAGTAATTAAGTTTGAGTTAACAGGTGACAAAATGGTTTTATCACTTGGGTTTTAAAGATGCATTCAGGTACCAGTTTGTGTTATACTTTGCAAAACGCAACAGAATGCATTCATCCCACCCTCAGCAACAAAAGTCAATACAAAGCAGCTGCTTTCTGCATGACTTGAAAAATATCAGTTTTCTTCCTCCATTTCCAAAATTACACTAATTATATCGTTGTGGAAAAAAATAATTTATTCTTTTCTCTGCTGCAATTCAAAAGAAAACAAAAGGCAAGTAGCAGAGCAACAAAAGCAGCTAAATAAAACCTACAGTGGTCTTGTCCTCCATGTTGAATTATTCATACGTGTCATTTTAGCCCCATTTGGAGGATGAAGATGAAAAGAGCTTTTGTTGATAACTGGCCAAGCTTGTCGGAGTATTGTTGAAATGAATCAGAGGCTTAACCACCATGTCCCATTTCTGTACAAAATATCAACTGAAACCTAGAAGATTTTTAGCCCCATAAAACAAACCCACCTGAAACGATTTCTACGATTTCTACTGCTTTAAAAACAATTAAAAACTACCTGGATGTTTGCCAAACTTAACGTGAAAAATGAGAGAAGCTAAAAGCTCGAAAGGATTTATAAGAACTGCTGCCAAAAACGACCATAATCTAAAACTTTGCATTCAATTCTTACACTCAGAGTGACTTCACTACGACCCCTTTAATTTGTTCCAGCTCCAAGTAGTTCTTGTTTAAAGACAAATCTATTAAATAACCATTAACAGTGTAATTACAGAGAATTACTGGAGTGAGAATAACAAATACCAGCATACGGCGCACACTGTGCACCTGATGAGACAGATGGTACTCACTGGTGATACATGCGGAGGACATCAAACAGGTAATCCTTCTCTGCCTCATTTTCAATCAGCAACTCCACCTGCAAGGAAGCAGAAACATGTGGTGCCATCCTTCTTCTGTCAGCTCCCTGACAAACACTGTGCTCTTGTCTTATGGTCCTGTCAACGCCACGGGGGGTAAAAACCAGCTCTGTGTGTGTGCGCGTGTGTCAGAGCCTTACAAACCTGATGGTGGCTCAGGTGCAGCAGGATGGTTTTGAGGAACCGCTTCGGCCAATCTTTAATAAACATCTCACTCGGTTAGCCCTCACTACCTCTCTCACAACCTAAGCTTAACTTTAAGAGGAGTATACGTTTGAGATGGTTCTTGGCTTTTAGGAGGAACGGAGTCTGCAGAAGCATGGAGGTGCACCTCTTTATCAAAGCTCTGGGAAAGAATAATGCCCACAGAGATGAGGAGAGGCAGCCGGAAGGTCAGCAGTGTCATCTTACACCTCAGACACAAACATGGCACCAACACTCAAATGCACAACGTTCCTCAGGCTGTGAGCAATAAGACGTCAGAATAAAAGAGCGCAAACCCCTGATGATTCTGTATTATTTTACAACAGGGTGAACGTAGATGCAGGCCAAATGAACGTCAGAGGGTGTGTGTGCAAAGCAGGCTTTATGACAGCCATAAACGTCTGTGGTTCAGTGCTGTGAGATACACGGTTAGCTCCTGCTCGGGCACGAACTACAGACTTTGGCACCATAAAAAATAAGGTTGGAGATGACTCATTAGGCAGAACGCAAAATGCTTCAGAACGGTTTTGGTCTGTGGTTGTTTAAATCCATTTTTGAGCAACACAGAACTGAATAAATCACAAAAAGGTGTTTACTGGCTATAATAATGTCTAAAAAAATAAATAAATTGTAAAAAAACAAAGCCTCGCTGTAGAGATTCCTCCCCCCAGCCTCTAACTAAACCCCTAAATTGTCTCTTCTGCTCAGCTGCTCATATCTGACACATTATCCAACGCTCTGGTGCTCTTTGTGAAGACAACATGGGCCCCTGCAGCACAGATGGTTGTGAGGTGATCCCTGCACGGTTTGAGGCTGAAAATGCTCTGAACATATCAAGTTCCCTTCTTATCTTTGATAGTTGTTGGGTTTTTTTTTTACTTTTTTGAATGCTGTAATTTGCCAATACCAACAAAAAATAGATTATGATTTGTGTGATACATTTTTGAGGATAATAAACTGCATCAAAAATCCTTATTTTATGATTATGTACTTGGATATAATGGCCACAGGTGAACATTGTTTATATAATTAAAATTAATTTCCAGCATCTTCTTTTTAATATTTCAATGAAAAGAAAAGAAAAATGTTAAATGTGCCTAGAATTACTGAATTCTAGTAGATTTTAAAGATACTAGTGTTTAAAACTCCTGTGGAAAATGTTTACCTGTACAACAAAACAAACTAAATCAGGTTATTTAAAATTCAGTAACTCTTTAATTAAATTAACTCAGCCCACTCGCAATTTAAAGCATATAAAATTAGATTTTAAGAATAAAATTGTTTATTTATATCTCCTAGAGGTCTTGTCATAATTAAGTTTTAATATTTTTGATTAAATAAATATTGCTTTGTTGAGCAGATACATTAAAACTGTGACATAAAAATAAGAAAAAATAAGACATAGTTTTCAATTCCGTGAATTGTTAAAAAATAAATAAATAAAAAGGAACTGTAATAACAACATAGATTTTTATTTTAAACGCTAAATTAATTTGTGTCTAGCAGTTTCTGTTTTCCTGGTCTGTGTGCGTAACATCCCAGCAAGCAGGTGAGACACCTGAGCCGGCGAGCTTTATCTGAAACTTTCTTTAAATTATTTTAAAACAGAAAGGTTTATGTATCATCTATCTTACCTTGTGTCTAAATTCCCGAGCAACTTTTCGCTCCATCGCTGACAAACAGGTGAAAACAGTCCGATGTCAGATCTCAGTTTGACGAGGCTTGACCCGAGGACAGTGTCGCGAGCTAGTCGGAAAACTGTCATTTCCGGTTACAGTTTTTACTTTAAAGCACGAATTATTCAACACCGAATTAAGAAACGTCTTTTTTTACATTATACAATGATATAATATTTTTTTATATTTAGATATTAGAATATTTCGTCATTTAATACTTTCATGCGCACGACGAAACCTTTTTATTTTGACTTTTATTTTGAAATTGCACGCGTTTAACGTTTGTTTGCAGGCAAACTTTACTAAACCGTTAACAATTTCTTATTTAAAAAAATCCTCTGTTTCTTATTTCACACCGAAGCCAATTTTCGTCGTACATTTTGCACAACTTGCATTATAAATAATAATGCTCAAAATAAAGGTTGAATGAAAAGTACCGTTACTCCTGTTTTTTAAGAGTTATACTCCCGGCCGCTAGGTGGCAGTTACAACTTCCTCCGTTCAGTTTTTCACGGAAAAGGCGGAAGTGTCCGGGATTTAAAAATACAACCGAGTTGCTGTGTGCGATTCTACAACTCGGATTTTGGAAGCACTTTAACTGGTAAAGTAAATTCAAGTTTCACGCTGCTCAAATTAAATATATCAGATGCCATTGCTTCAGGTTTGTTGCGCTTTTTATTTTTTTGCGCTGAAACATCAAATCTCCCGCTAGCCTTACCGCCATGACAGAAAACGTTATTATTCACTATGTTGTCGTCTCCTGCACAAACTAAAACTTGTGTTAAAATGATGCAAAATTAATTAAAAATTTATTTATTCTGTTACATTATTTATTTAATCCACACATTTATAAATAAACACATTTATAAATTATATTCTTAAAACGTAAGACAGACTTTTATTCACATAATTTGTTTTAATACAGATTCAACAAAGAAAATAACACAACCACAATGAGTTTGTTTAGAGTTGCCTGTTCATAATATATTTTTCACTTTGGTTTTAAACATAATTATTGACGTATGTTAAATTTAAAATGCACTTTTGTGAATTACTTAACAAAAAAAAAATAGCAGGCAGAACAAAATGTTATTCTTGAACAAACGTTTTTCAATTTAGATTAGCATATAAGTCATTATGTTGCCGCTTTCTGATTTATATTCATAGTTAATGTTTGAGTTGCTGCAATGTTGTCCTTTTTTATTGTAATTGGCTGCTTAAATGCTGTGAATAATAAGTGTCAATGACGAGCTTTTCATGTTTTTCTCTCTTCTCTTAGTGTTTTATGCTGGAATGGGATCTCCAACAAAGCATACAACACCACGCAGGTTTATTGTCCAAACTTTCCTGTAGACAGAGGTTTATGATTCAGTGGTAACTAAAATGGTGTGGTATTCATAAAGTTTTAAGTTATTTGTTGTTTTTTTTCTGCAGAACCAACATTCGTTCCCCAGGTCAGGAACATGACTCCCCACTTCCTCCAATCCAGGAGCGTCTGGCGTATCTCCGTCCTTCCAGAGAGCTGCTAGAGTTCTACAGACAGAAGATCGCCCAGTATGACGGCGAACACGAGGAGCTGCTCCAGATGCTGGAGAAGTACAGAGGCGTCACAGAGGACCAGGTGGGTGTTGGAAGTCAGTGACTTTTAGCCGTGTCAGAGTTTGTTAAATCTCCTGACTGATCTTCTGTGTCCTTCCTCGCAGCACAAACTACAGTGGGACATACGACAGCGTGAAGGAGAGATTGCAGAGCTTCAAAGTGCCCTGAGTGACATGCAGGTCTTTCTTTTTCAAGAGCGAGAGCAGTCACTGCGACTTTATGCAGAAAATGACAGATTAAAGATCAGGTAGGATCACTGTTTATATTAAAATCACAACTTTAATACTTAGTTATTAGTTTCTCCTGTGACCCAGGTTGAATCAAAGCGGCTTCAGTGAAAAATCTTTATAGGACAAATATCAGTGAGGTTTTGAGCTTATTTAACTAACTGCAATTGCACATCATGTTTTTTATATTTATAATTATATATGTGTTAATACTTTTCAAGCATTAAAGGCCTTTATAAACATTTCTGATTCACAGCTGAAGGTACTGGATGTTTATCTTAACTTACATATGATAAAATGTGTTTTTTGAGTTGCCATCTGGTTCTCAGAACAACTTTCTAAACCTGACGGAGTAGAAAATTTGTCTTTTTAAAATCAAATTTTCTGGTTGATTTTTTTTTTTTTTTTTTAATTATCAATAATTTTAAACTAGAGCTGATGTTTTGCCCCTACCAATTATTTTTACTTAATGTTTCCTATACTTTAAACATTTAGGCATTAAAGATTTATAAAAAATTATCATGTTTTCATTTTTATTATGTTTTTTTTGTTGCTGTTGTTTCTGTTTTTAACAAATCGTCAGATAGGAATATGTTAATATCTAACAAAGTTAAGTCAGGTCCTCTGGACGGATTCTTCTCTCCAGAGGACCTGACTTAAACTTGTTAGGTTTCTCTAACTGGACTACTGAGCATGTGTCAGAATGAATAAGTAGTTTAATGCTGCTGCTCACCTCTTAATACACCTACTGTATAAATAAAACTGTTTAACCATCCATTCATTGCTGCAGAGAGCTTGAGGACAGGAAGAAGATCCAACACCTTCTTGCACTTGTTGGGCCTGATGCAGGAGAGGTCACATATTTTCACCAGGAGCCGCCTCACAAGGTGCACGTTTACTTTGTTCTCAGCAGCGTTTTGGACAAAAAAAGTCTGACGTTTACTTTTTCTAGACACTTTTTGTGTGTGTGACTCTCATTATATGGCAGAATAAATGTAGTTTTATAGCTGCTTTTAGATGATTTTAAATCTAATGTAGTGGGGATTTTTTTCTAGGCTTTGGCTCTAAGGTCTGGGTGGTAAATGAGTTTCAAATCCAATTCAAATTATTACTGCTTGATGCTGATTGAGATGTCTGCATAACTTGTAAATTCAGGCTTTGTCTTTATTTCAATTTTTTTTCAAGTGTTAGTAGTTTGTGGGTAATTTAATTTGTTGAACAGAACTTCAAAGAGATTCCAGTTTGATTTTGAGATTATGAAAGATGTTCTTAAAAAAAACACTTTATTTCAGGTCACTATTACTCAAAGGCAGCCTGAGTCCAGATTTGAGGAGAGTCTCAGACCAACAAAATTAAGACCGTCTGCGACCACAAAAGGTTTGAAAATGACTGAGTTTAGATTTTAAAAACTTTTTTTTTTATATAAAATGTTTTATCCACTTTGGTTTTACATTTTAACAGAGGTCAGCAAAAGAACAAAATCAGCAGGTGGTTTCAATAACGAAAGCTTGGAACGATACAAGAATGAAAACCAGACATTGTTGCTGCAGGTAGGACTTCACCTTCTGGGTTCATTAAACAGAATCATTATCAGATTGTTGGTATTTCTTTCTCCTGCTTTTTGTTCTGTGAGACTGTACTGAAAGGACTTCTATAATGGCATCTTTATTGTGTGCTCAATTTTAAGGTGGAGGCGCTGCAGGCTCAAATGGAGGAACAGACTCGTTTGGCCAAAGAGCAGGTAGAAGCTCTGCTTGAGGATCGGAGGATCAAAACAGAAGAGGCTCAGGCTCAACAACAGAGAGACCAGGAACGCATTAAAGCTCTCACTGAAAAGTGGGTCTCATAGCTAAAATTGAAAACTTATGTACTTTGTGCTTTGCTTCTAGCTGATTTCTTTTCTGGGTGATTTGACTTTTTCAGGCTCCAGCAAACTCAAAACTTGTTGCATGAGAGCACCAGAGACTTCCTACAACTAAAATTCAACGCTCGGGCTCATGAGAAAAGCTGGATGGTGGAAAAGGATCGACTGCTGAGGGAGTTGGACTCCTGCCACAACCGGCTGAGAAAAGCTGGGTCCAGCAGCGCTGAGATAGGGAAAACATGGCAGCCCAGCAGCAGGACAGCCCTTCTCCTCCCTCGGCCACAGCCAGGGTTAGAGCAGGAACACAAGGAGCAGCTAAAGGTAACACTGGAGAAGCTGCTTCATTCTGTTGAGTGCTGAATGACTTGCAGGAAATTTGCTAAAGAAACTAAAACTGAATTGCTGTAGCTAAAATTAACAAAATAGCTGGGGTAACAGTATCCAAAAGTATCCAAAGAGTAGCTAAAATAGCATGAGAAGACAAACAAAGCAAATATGTTGAAACCAATTTCACTGAACAATTTTTTTTAATGAACTGAAGAGACATTGGTAGATTTTTGTAGCCATTTTTAAAGAGACTAAGTTTGCAGAAGTAGATTGATTTAAAAAAAATGTGACGGCTACTATAACTAGGAAAACAAAAGTGTAAATGCTGACTTGGCATTCACACAATAATAGATCCCTATTGTGGATGTGGGTAAGTTATTCCTGACTCAGTTATATTGTTTACTATTGTCATCAGTACAAAAATATGTTTTTTTTTTATTTTGAGGTGGTTCACGAGGACTTGAAGCAAGCTCACCATCTGGCAGAGATGTACAGAGAGCAGTGCATTACTCTGGAGACTGAACTGTCCCAGATCAGGGAGGAAGGAGACGTCGGCAGGGAGATATTCAAGGTTTGCTTTTGAGCAACTCTGATCTGCACTGCCTTTACGAGTCTTCTGATTGATGAAGAAGTTAATTATTGTTGTTGACATGGTTACCTAATGGTGCAGGAGCGTTCAGACAAGATGGCCAAGCGTCTCCAGCTGATGACGCAGCGCTACGAGGCTTTGGAGAAGAGGAGAAGCATGGAGGTGGAGGGCTTCAAGACAGACCTGAAACACCTCCGACAAAAGCTCAAAGATGTAGAGAAACAACTTCTAAAGGTAAATGGGGTGTGAACGAACACATTTTAGATGCATAAAATAATTGTACTCAAAAACGTCTTATTCTTTAGGTAACCTTGAATATTGGCCCAAACCAGGACTTGGCCATTCTGCATGAAGTCAGACAGACCAGTTCCAGGACCAAAAAGGTTCAGAGTGAGCTGATGGCGCTGAAGGCTAAAATCTATGGACTTGAAAATGAGCTTCGATTTAGCTGAAAAATGTATTACGATGCTGTTGTGATGTTTTCATGAAATTACCTCTCTTGTAGATACTTTTTTTTGTTGCTGTTTATATTTAGCTGAAATGAAAGCTAATATTTTGTGCTTTGAACCAATAAACTTTTCTGTTACTGTGTTTTTAAGGTGACATAAAGTGAAATACTAATAAATGGAAGTCAACACTGAAACCAAACCACCAGCCTGAAGGTTTGACCAGTGATATTTCCTGAGCTGTATCCACCGCTTGCTCAGTAAACAAAGTTATGGAAATATAATTCAATAACACCAAGTCACAACAGAAGTTGTCTCAGGGCACTGTACAAAAACATTCACATACAGTAAAAAAAAAAAGACAATTAGTAAAAGTTATTTATATAACTTGAACCATCTTTTTTGGATTTACCATGTCCTGGATGACTGAGACTTTTCACCAGCTATCTAAGGAAGCAGATTGTGTTGAATCTTCACTTTGTCACAGTCTCCCATTCTGAGCAAGCACAAAGGAAACTGTGGAAAGGAAAAACTCCCTTTTAACAGGATGAAACCTTAATCGGAACCAGGCTCAGAACGAGTGGCCATCTGCTTCAACCGACTGGGGTTTGAGAGGACAGGAAGGAGAAACAGACAAACACAGAAAATGACAGGTCCATGTGTACTTTCTATTGGAAAAAAAAGACATGTTAATGATAGAAATAATTACAAATACAAATCAGTAAACGGTAGCAGAGCCTATAGCAGCATAACTGATAGCTCAGGAAACCCAAGCCAACCTTAACGACGGGATTTATCAAAATGGAAAGACGTAAGCCTAGTTTTAAAAGTAGACGATGTGTCAGCTCTGCCTCCCATTTAGGACCCACAAGTAAACCTGCAGTCTGAGAGAGAAGTGCTCTGTTAGGAAAATATGGAACAATAAGATCTGTAATATATAAATAAAATTTCTGCAATGTGGTGGACAAAAATTGTTATTGTCCTTAGAATTAAAATATTTTGTGGTGCACACAGCTTGGCCACCAGGTGACTGTATGATCCACTGACCACCTAATGAGCATAAACTGCAAATAGTAAGATTAATATGTATATACTCTTAGTATAGTATGTTTATTTTAATAAGTCATTATTGACTCACTTTGATATTTACCTAGTTTTAGCTCTAAAACGTTTGTTTAATAACACTGCTAACTGTTGAGTCCGCATATCATTAAAATGTTAACTTTTTTTTAAATAAGTCTGAAGTTTTTGTCTTAAAGTGCATCGTGACGTAACATTTGTGATAATTTGTCCAAGATTTCCTCGTAAAGTCAAGAACAACAGTTTCGTTTCCGATAAACTGAAAAACGTGCGCACGTGTTTCCGTTAGGGGTGGGGAGCGTGACGTCATGTCGACTTGCGCATGCGCGTATTTACCGTCGTTAGCCTGTCAGCCATAGGTAGTAGAGTTCGTACTGAATGGAGACAGAAACAGCGTGAGAAAAGTAAAGTGAGCATTATTCTCACTTGTTGAGAGATGTGAGCTGTGTCCTCAACTGTCAGGTTTGTAAAGAGTGCAGTTAGCTCGAAGCTAACCCCGCCGTGTTTGTTGTTTACCCGTCCGCCGGGGCTGTTTTTCCTGAAGTGCCTGGAGATGCTGAGACCAAAATATTTGAAAAGTTGCTGGCAGCTGCTGAAATCGAGCTGCGAAGGAGCAGCTAAGCTAGCAGATATCTCGCCTTCCATCTCAAGAAACTATAGCCATGTAAGTGACTGCTTTTAAAACTGTTTTACATTAAAATGAAAAGAAATCAAAGTTCCCATTCAAGTTAGTTTAACCATTTCCGTTTAATAAAAGTGGTATTAAAACTGAACGCATCAGTTGTGTTTACTCTTTTTATATCCCTAACCTAGTCATAAAACCTTGGCTTTATCTACTGTAAAACTGAACAAAGGCTCAGAGAGTTCAGTGTGTGTCACAGGATGAGATGGCAAATACAGAGCAGATGATCCAATCCTTGTTTCCAAGTTAATAAACAACCGGTCTCTGCTCCAACTCCCTCCTCAGGGCCCCAGCTCGTTTGGACTCCTCTTCGACATAGATGGGGTGCTGGTCCGGGGTAGGACGCCAATCCCCGCTGCCAAGCAGTGCTTCAAGAACCTGGTGGACCAGAATGGAAGATACAAGATGCCTGTGGTGTTTGTCACAAACGCTGGAAACTGCATGAGGCAGACCAAAGCTGAGCATCTGTCTCAGCTGCTGGAGGTGGAGGTAAACCACATACCATCTAAACCGGTTATCTGGTTTTGTTGTTTTGGTTTCCTCTGACATTGTGTGCTCTGCTTAGGTGTCTCCGGACCAGGTGATGCTGTCTCACAGTCCCCTGAGAATGTTTACCCAGTTTCACAAAATGTGTGTGCTGGTCTCAGGACAGGGTCCTGTCGAGGAGGTCGCTTACAAGTATCCTTTGTTCACTGACAGAGACTGCACACACACACTGTTCGCCCTGACAGTCCATCGTCTTATTTATTCAGTGTTTCTGTTCATGCTTCACTTTATCAGTGTTTAATCTTTGTACCTGTTGTTACACATTCTGCTTAGCTGTGCCAATTAGGCTGATTAGATTTTTTTGAGTTTAATAGGTTTTTTTCATGATTTGACATTCAGACTGTAGTTATTTAGACTGTAAGAAGATAGCTTTGTAAATAGTTGGACAAGTGTTTTGTGCTTCCTGGCCTTTGTTTGACTTTAACCCTCTAAATGTCAGCCTGGGTTTCGAGGATGTGGTCACTATAGATATGCTCAGAGAGGCATACCCCGTGTTGGATGTTGTAGATCACAACAGAAGACCCAAAGATGGCGTAAGTAGAAAATGATACTGAATCTCATTGCTGTTTGTATAGATTACATCATACTTACTGTTTAATTTCTCAGATTCCACCCACTAAAGGCTTACGGCCAATAGATGGTATGTTTCCTCAAATAACCAAAGTTGTTCAATAGTTCTTGGCATTTAGCATTTTATAATGCTTACAATATATTGCTGTAATTTCTGCAGCTGTTGTCTTATTTGGTGAGCCAATCAGATGGGAGACCAACCTCCAGCTCATCACTGATGTACTCCTAACCAATGGAAACCTTGGTAGAACCTGGACTTCAACACAATATCCTCACATCCCGGTCCTGGCTTGTAACATGGACCTGCTGTGGATGGCAGAGGCAAAGAATCCAAGGTACATCTGAAAATGGCTCTAAAATGTTTTCTACGGCTAGAACTGTTCTAACAATGACTGCTCCACGTGTTTCAGGTTTGGTCATGGTATGTTCCTGGTCTGCTTAGAGAATTTATACAAGAAGGTCACAGGCTATGACCTGAAGTATGAGGCTCTGATCGGCAAACCAAGTGTGGTGACTTATAACTACGCTGAGCTGCTGATTAGACAGCAGGCGGAGAATCTTGGTTGGACCACACCTGTGAAGAGACTGTATGCCATAGGGTGAGTGATTCAGTCTGCTGTTGAATTGATGTTGACAAAATAGTAATTATTAAGGACTTTGGCCAACCAAGATGGCAACCGTCTTGAATAGGACTGAAACCAAAAGCTAATCATTTGCACATCCATTTATTATTTCCTGGACGTTTCAAGTCTGTCCACTGGTTCACAAGATATTTCGCTAACAGAATTAACTCAAAATAGGTACTGGCCAAAATTTAAACCAAGATTTTGTGCAATCTTTTAGAGCTCAGCGTGTGTTGAGGATGACTCATCTACCAACACCAAATATCTGTAGCTGTAGAACTTACTGAGTTATAACCATATTTTAAGGATAGTTGGATGTGGTGGCCATCTTGTGCTGTGTTGGCTCAAAATTAATCAGTTGTAGCTGTACATCTAAAGATTACTGTCTACAAGTTTCATCCAAATTTGTCTACTGGACTTGTTTATTACATATTTTTGGTAACGGATGCCAAAAACATTTATCCTCCACCTTTTGGTAGTGGATAACTTTGTTGCGAATGCTTCGTTTAACGTTGTGGCACATTTTGCTTTATTTCAGTGATAACCCCATGGCTGACGTTTACGGTGCCAACCTCTACGATCGCTTCCTTCAGACCTCTCGTCATACCAAAGCCAAAATGCAGGTCAAGAGTGGCGTACAAGCTGTGGATCACATGGAGAAAGCTAAGATGACGTCATCAGAACTAGGTGGAGCAGCAGGTGTGTATGGGTCAAAGGAGGACCTTCCTGAGGGGTGCAGCTCCATCCTTGTGTGCACAGGCGTGTACAGCAGAGAGCAGCAGGAGCTGCCGTCCGACCCGACGCAAACCGTCACAGAGCAACACATCTTCCACGGCCACAGGGACTTTCGCTTTGACCCGACCCTCATGCAGCCGTCATTCGTGGTGCATGATGTAAAAGAGGCGGTGGAGACGGTGTTCCAGCTGGAAGGCTGGCCTCTGGTGTAAAACCAACAGCTTCTTAAACCTTAAGTCTACTTAAAAGGCTTTTAATTTAATCGCAACAGAAAGTAACCAAGGTTTTATGGGTGCTTTTTGTAATCATCAAAGGACAGGGTGTGGTTGTTACTGTGTGATAGAGCGAAAAGCAGAACTGTGAAATTACAGCGCTGAAGATATGAAAGTTACAAATCACATCGGTCATGCATGGTACTGTGCCAGACTGTTAACGTTTTAATGTACAGTTTTTAAAAAAGTTTTATATTTTACTTGTGCACAAAGCATTTAAACTTTCTAATGTCTTTTACAGCACACAACATTTTATAAAAGAGTAGTTCTTAAAATGTAAACAAGACTGCGTTAAAATTTTTTTTACAAAGTGTCCAAATAGTTCAAACATACTTGCACCTGTTTTGCTGGACAAAGTAAAAAGCCTTCTACAAAAACACAACTGTTCTGTGACAATAGCGCTTGTGAACATGGTCTTTATGTAACACACAGTGTAGCCTCGGTCCTAATTTAAACATTAAATGGACTTCAGGGTATGTTTGTCTGTTAAAATCTAACCTTTTAAATTGAGTTAACGTGGTCATTTAATAGAATAGAATAGAAACGGCCTTTATTGTCCCACAGATGGGAAATTCCATTAATGCACACAAGATTAAGTTTAGTCCCTTAAAAGTGCAATTACGTGTTTAATTTGTAATGTTTTATTGTAAAGAATTGCACTGTTTGTGTCTGAGGAAAAGATGCTATTTTTCTATGAAGCGGTTTAAAAAAAATCTTAGGACTGTTTAAATGTAAATGTCTGTATTAGACTTTATTGACGATCACAGCCCCAGTAAAAAATTCACAAGTTAATTATACATTTAAGTGATGTGTGATTTAAATGTGACTGACTGGTCATGTACTGTATTAGCAATGCTTTTTAAAAGAAACAAAAGAATGAACAAACATTAGATTGCATATTGAGTGAATGTAGTATTTACTGTCAATTTTAGTACAGTCCTGCAAAGCTGTGGCTTATCACAATCAGCAGCAGTTAACTCCAAAGAAATATTGGAAAAAGAGAGCAATAAATCACAATTTCACATCTATATAACAGATTCTTACAAACTATAAATAGTAAAACTGAAAAAAAAAATGTACAACACTTTTGCTGTCACACTCAACGCAACATATTACAGAAAGCACCAAACAAAACTGGTTTGTTTCACTTTGGAGTAAGCTGTTGGGGAAAGAATCAGTTTTGTGTTGTGTGTTTCCTTGACTGATGAAGCCTTCTGGATGGAAGCTGAAACGTTTCAGCACACACAAAAAATAAAAAGCTGTCCAGATGACCTGACTGAAAATTGTTGGATTGTATACCTGGATTATTGAGCATGGACTTTGCTGGTCATATTATAAAAACTTATTTTTCTGGTGAGCAAACTTAAAAACACACATAAGCTGTTCTTAGTCCTGGCTCAGTCGGTCAGCACTCACACTTTTTATCCGAAGTCGCCGCAGCGCCATAAATGGGCTGACAGCTGTCACTCAATGTGAACTGAGGAGAGGTCTGGTCTGTGATGGTCATACCGTTCCGCGCCAACAGTTCCTGGGCCATGAGAATGAAGGCAGCATCTATGTTCTGGGACTCCTTGGCAGAAGTTTCTAAAGCAGCCAGAAGGGCATTCTTTTCTGCCAGAGTGCATGCATCCTCGAACAGCACCTGCCTCTGAGTGTGGAGGTCCGACTTATTACCTGCAGAAAGAGAGATGGTGAAAGATCTTTAAAAAAGGATGCTGCAACAGTGTTCTTGATCAAAGGTTTCTCAAATATCAGTTCGTAGATGTTTTCATAGCATCTTGATGCAAAATGCATCCTTTAAAGCAGAGTCTCCAAAGCCTGTTGTTAAATTTCTTACCCACGAGTATCACCACCACGTTGGCAGCTCCATACTGCTCCACCTCCCTGATCCAGTGAGAAAGGGATTCAAACGTCCCGCGGCGGCTGATGTCGTATGCCACCATCGCTCCGTGGGCACTGCGGTAGTAGCTCTGCGTTATGGTGCGGAAACGCTCCTGTCCAGCCGTGTCCCACACCTGCATCTGGAATAACACATGACACAAACGTGGGTTAACCAGATGCACAATGTGGGGAGAAATGCTTTGTATACAAGTGAAACATGTGCTGTGAGCTCTAAAGGTTATTAGTCCTTTTTTAACTTGAACTTTCTCAAAAAAGAAATTTAAACTGAACCAGAAACCTGACAAACTAACCACTAATCCACCGTGCTGCCCAAATAAATGCAGAAATGACACAAAAAATATGGACTTAGAATAAAACCTACCTTCACCTTCTTGCCATTAATAACCAGAGTACGAACTGTGAAGTCAACCCCGATGGTGTTCTGCTGCTTCTCGATGAATATACCGGACTTGAAGCTCTGGACCAGGCAGGTCTTACCAACGTCCGAATCCCCAACCAGGATGATTTTAAAAAGAAAGTCAAAGGAATCCTCAGCCTCTGGTGCAGCAGACTGCATGACGACAAAAACATCGAGGGTGAAAAATATCAAAGAGCTCCTTTTCTTCTCTGCAGCAGAACTGGTTTCCTTTAGGTTGTGTCAACAAAACGGACTATTTACATAACCGGCATACACATCCTTGTGAGACGAGAAGAAAATGAGATTTAAAAGAACCATAACGCATCAAGCAATGAGGTCTCTTGCTAATGTGGTCCATTCAGGCAAAAAAAACAAAAAAAGTACTTTTAAATAGTCAAATCCAGTGCAACGGCTCAATTCCTCCATTTAAAATGACACGCATCATAAAACTGAGTTTAATTGTGCAACAAAAACACAATTATTTTTTATCTAAAATGAGTTGGAAGTTTTAAAATGCGTTTCGTCATAATGAACTTCTCTACACTGCACTATCAGCCACGTTCATGAAGTCCAAGCAGGAGTATGGACTTCTGCCCTTTAGACCGTCACTCGTCCTGTTTCTTTCACTCAGGGGCAGACTTGAACGCACTCCTCTTACTTGTGTTGGCAAACGTGGCCTCCAACTGCCAGCCCACCGGCACCACTGCATCTTGGGATATTGGTTCTCTGCTCAGGCTCTATAACTGGATGAAATACCTGGAAGTGGCAGATATAAAAATCAGTGACCTGAAACTGGAGTCATAACCAGACGCAGCCTGTTGCTTTACAAACAAACTGGTGGAACCTTTGAAATTAGAACAAAGAGCTGAAGGACACTTCTTGAATTAAAACTTTATAAGTAACAGATTTATAAGGCTCACTTTGCAAATACCCCTGAAGCAGAAATGGTTTCTGCTAAACTGCTGACAAATCGTAAACACGATTTTTTTTTTCCATGTTACAAACCTACATGCTTCCACAGGGAATTAAAACTAATGGAGGTTAACCAGACCCAAACATTGAAGGAAAATTATAACAGTATTTAAAAATGTAAACATTTTACCTCAGGCTTCACACATTGGCATCACAGCGAGATGTAAATCCAGAATGAGCGTATTGCTCTCAATCAGTCGCTTTCCTTCCACCACCCCATGTACGTTTCTGTCGTCATCTCAGCCCACAGGAGAACGAGGCACAGCTGGACTCAGAACAATGAGTGAGTCTATCTTTGGATGCAACCACCAGATCACCTTCTTTCTCTGGTGTGGTGGGTGACCCATTAAAAACAGAACTGTGGTTCTGTTGACCACTCTGAGCAGGCAAAAAAAAGACAGGAGTAGGAAACAGAACTTTGATCCTCCTTCATTTCTACAAACAAAAATACTGATTGCATTTCAAAAGCAATATAGAATATACTCGAGAATTTTAAAAGCCTAGTTGTTGCTTTTACTAGATTAAAACAAATCTCTTGGGATATGCAGTGTTCATACACGACAAGCTGAAGTGTAAATACAGTAGCAAGTCTCCACAATAAACCTTTATAAGAACACAAGTGGTTTCCATGAATCAGCAGAAATTCAGCCCCAGAGCTGAGCTGGTGATGATGAGTCATGGTGGCATCATTGCTGAAGCTCCCACTATCACAGCCGTGCACATCGGCCCCTTTGTGTCATCTCCTCTGCAGAAAATGTGCTGCGCTCGCAGGGTGTCTGAGTCTAACATCAGTGCAGGAACTCTGATGAGTTTTCTTCTGCTTTGGCGGTTTCCTGCCCGTTGTCTTGTTTGGGGATGTTTCTGGAGGAGGAACGTGAATCGGCTTCCAGGGGATCGGGTTGTAGAAGCTGGGTGCTGGGTATGATTTGTCGTAGGGACCTGAAAGAAAGCAATACATCAACATAGTTTTAAATAGCAAATATTATGAAGAAAAATATCCTGATGCATGCTCAATAATCCAGGTAGAAAAATCTAAAAAAGTTAAATCTGGTCCTCTGGACATTCAAAAAAAAACAAAACAAAGCAAAACAACAAAAAATGTAGAAACGTTTCGTCTCTCGTCCGAGAGACTTCTTCAGTCTGAGGTGCTGTTTTCAGCTCAGTCTCTTAAATAGCACCTTCTCAGAGTGGATCAACCAGTTTTGCTGCTGACAACCAAAACCAGGTTAGGCTGATGGTCCTTCTTGAGCATGTGATCAGCAGGTTTTGGTTGTCAGCAGCAAAACTGGTTGATCCACTCTGATAAGGTGCTATTTAAGAGACTGAGCTGAAAACAGCACCTCAGACTGAAGAAGTCTCTCGGACGAGAGACGAAACATTTTTTGTTGTTTTGCTTTGTTTTGGTTTTTTTTGAATGTCCAGAGGACCAGATTTAACTTTTTTAGATATGAAGAAAAATATTCAGTGTTATTATTGTCAGTAGTGAAAAACTTGATGCACATATGTTTAATTTATTGACAGTTTTCAGTTATTAGTTCCTTAGTTGCTAAAATGACCTTACTTGTGGGGTAGAGAGGTGATTTGGGACTAGCGCTGCTTTTTTTATTGGCCTTCGTCAGCCACTCCTTGAACTTTTCTTCTGCCCTCCGGCTGCGTTCCCTCTCCTGCTCCTCCTTCAGGGCAGCTTCCTCCTGTTAGAAAAAAAAAAGTGTAAACATATTTTATATGAACACTGTCGAATAAAATAAAGACAATAAAAAAGCCATATTACTTTCTCCTTCTTTTCGTTTTCTATTTTTTCTTGGTTCTTCTTCTGCAACCAGCTTTTGTATTTTTGCTGAGCTTTCTGTTCGATCTCCCTCCGTTTCTTCTGCTGCCTCTGCATCTCCTCGTCATCTTGTTTCTGCTTTAAAAGGTGCTCATGCCTCTCCTAGAAATGCAGACAAGCAAAAAAGTTTTTAAAATTTATACAACTAAAAATCCAAGATTTGAAACAAGTATTTCTTCACCTGTTCTCTTTTAACTTTCAGCCATTTCTGGATCTTCTCTTCGATGACAATTTTTTTCTGCCTCTGCTCTCTTTCCTGCTGTTCTTGTTTTTCATTCAGTAAGCGTTCCTGAGATTTAAAAACACATCGAGCTCAAGTAAGTGATTTAAACGTGATACAGTAACAACACTCAGATATATTTCAAGTTAGACAAGTTGACAGCCTATAACAGTATGTACAGATGTGGATACCCTTCCACAATTAAAAAATAAATAAATATCGCACAACTGATGAAGCTGGCCAAAAAGCTCCAGTTTTGTCTTACAAGTCGTCAAGATGCATTTTGGTGAGTTCCAGTTTGTCTTTTTGTGTTTTTCTGTCAATAATGGAGCTGGGTCTTAACAAAAATGGTTAAATCATGTCATCTGGACCCATTTCTTTAAGTGAAGAAACGTTTCATCCCCCATCCAGAGGACTTCGTCAGTCTGCAGCCTGTCAACCAGATCTGTCCCATAGGTCGCCTTCACTGCTGTGTTTCAAGTCAACCTCCTGTTGGAAACTCAGAAGTAGGCTTTTTTACACGTGCAAACAGCGCACACCAATCCAAAACCATCAATCATCATTAACAGCAATCAAGTGTTTTAGGCCAGGTGGCAAACTTGCTACTCACAGAAACAGCCTGTGGACAACCAAGGCCAAAGTGGTTCAGAAAAAAGTTTTGTAAGCAATACCTGGATGATTGAGCTTACAAAACTTCACTGTGGGTCTTCTTCCAGGGAGTCTATTATGATTCAAAGTGCACTGCCTCTTGCATCCACAACCTGGGAAGTTAGCTACAGTCCCATGAACCTTATACGTTTTAAAAATTATTGGCAGCTCTTGTCAGAGGATCGTAAAGCTGCTTGGAGATGGTCTTCTAGTCTTTACCTTTAACATAATCTAGAATCTTCTTTCTGAGTACCTCAAACAGCTCTCACCTTTAATTTCTCTGGTCTGTGTTCAGTGTGGCACCATACCAAATTACCCAGTGGCATGTTTGTTCCCTTTAAATAGAATGTATGGTTTATGAAAAGCTTCAAGGTCCATGTAATAATAACTAAAGTCCAAAACTTAGTTAGAAACATGACTATAGTCCAAAGATTATTTGTCTCTTTAAGGATACCAACAAACCTGTTCATACTATGTTAGCATAGCTTTATAAAATAAACAACAAATCACTTCTTTTCACCACCATTTTTGCTTACAGATACACTTTGCAACTTCTGTAATCTTGATAACTTTTCACGAGAAATGACCCAATAGATTTAAAGAGTCGAAAGGGTGCCAACTAATTTATGCTCATCTGTACTACAATAAAAAGCTGCTTGCCTCTTCAGCTTTCTGTTCGATCTTAAGGCGCTCCTCTTTAGTTTTGTTCAACAGCCACATTTCCCATGCACTGAGAGAAGGTGAGGCAGCGGGCTGCACAGATGAACTGTACATCTGCTCCAAAGGCGTTTTTGGTAGCTCAGATCTATAAAGTTAACAGAGACACACTATTAAAATATCACAGACAGAGGACAGAAAATGTGCTTGAAATTGAGCACTACCTGACTGATGATGTGCCAAGTCTTGTATCAGTGCTGTGCCTGGGTGAAATCTGCTGAGCTGGAACAGATCCCTGCTCCTCTTCATCACTTTCATCACTGTCAAAGCTGTCATGGTAGATTGGAGAAAGCAGCGAAAACGTGTCTTCGTCGTCGGACACAACGGTGTCATCCAAATCTCTGATTTTCTGGAAGTCTTTGTCCTCATTAGCCTTGACGGGAGTCGAGCTGAAGCCCTTGGAAGCAAAGGCTGGACACTTGGGCATCCCCCGTCCAGACATTAATCTTTGCTGCGGATCACACCGATGAGTTTTACGTTATTGTAGATGTGTAAATTGTTAATGAAGTAAAGTGAAATGAGGTAGAAACAATTTAGAGTTACCAATCAGCCTAACATGAGGCAAATTCCCCATGTATTTTACATGCAACATCATATAATCTGGCTTCACAAGTTAGCCATTTAAGCTAATACGTAGTAGACGGCTAACATTAGCATTAGCAAACATCAACAACAATCTTCGCTGTTTTGTTTAGCGTCACGTGTAAGTTAAAACGAAATACACAAGCGTTACTTATAGTTGTTTTTCTCACCTTTCCGTAAAAGACAAAAGTACGACAGAGCTTTAAGACTTTGACTTGGTGCCGATATTTCTTTAATGAGTGTTGTAACTGACTTTTAGAACGAGACTGCAACTTTTACTTCCCAAGATACACCGCGCCCCACGGCAGTCGGTAACTATAGCAACGCTAGACGCGACGCTTTCGTTTTCAGACGAATTTATTTGTATACTTTATCATTATCAGTAGAGCATTTTTCAAATATGTAAATAAACCTAAAGGAAGGAAACACTCAGTTCCGTTCATTACAAGCGTATTTATATAGCGTCATTTATATATATTATATTTTTTTTCTGCGAGTTGATTATCGATTTACAAACTGTTTCGTTTTTTTAATATAATTTTCTTCCATTTATTTTTTCAATTTATATGCTTTCTTTTATGATTGTCTACTGTTGTCATTGTTGTCTATACTGTTGTCATCATTCTTTGTTAAAAACAGGTCTCGCTGGTAAATGAGTTCTCGAGACTCAATGAGACTAATCTGTATAAATAAATGCAGAATGAATATATAACATTTTGTTTAAGTCTGTAAAATGCAATAAAGTTGTCTCCTTTGTGAAAAAAGGTACAAAATTTACACATTCTTTTAGATTTTTTTTGCTTAACTTTTGTCTTTTTAGAAACAAAATAATATATTAAGTTCTTTTAAAGTTTTCATGACTATGTTTCACAAATTGTTTTGTTCTTTGAGTAGTTTAATAAAAATAACTGAATAAATTACCTACTTGTTGTCTGTTTTTCTGCCCAGATGGAGCATTTAGTTCATCAGTTTACTGCTATAAGAAGTTGTTCTCACACCTCTGAGCCGGTTGTGGCAAAGATCCGTCTCACTCATTTTTACATTATCCGTCTAATTACCAGCAGGCGACCCAAAGTGAGGGGTTGTTTTCACAAGGACTTGTGGCATTTTGAGTCTGCAACATAATTCAGCACACGTTCATTTATTACCGTTTGTTTTCATCACTTATAAATTTATCTGCTAAGAGAAACTTGTGTTTTGTGGAGTTTTATCAATATGATCACATCATTGCAAACAATAACTTGGAGTTCCTCATAATCTAAATTTAAAGTTAGTGCCAGCTGTGCACAGAGAGCTGTCAATAACCAAGGTGTGATTAACCTGTTCGGTGACCTGAAAGCTTTGCACGTTGATTTATATGTGTTTTAGCACCAAAACAGTCTATCAACTATTAACAATTATTAACCAGTAATTAATTGCTAATTATTAGAGTCTTGCTGGTAAATCTAAACAAAAGCAGCCTTATATATTTGTTTTGTTGGTGAGTCTAAAACATTTCTGGGATGCTCTCTTAATGGCTCCCATCCGTCACTCCTCCTTGACTTCAGCGTGCCACCAACAGTTCTGGGGAACATGCTGACCCAGAACAGACAGGACTTCAGGTGAGTCGGATCCTGCGTGTCGGCTCCGGAGTCACACCAGCCTGTGGGATTCCAGCTTCAGCCTCTTTGTCATTTAGATCTGCCTGGATCATTAAAACTTCACTGAGCCTGGTGGTATGGTGGCAGGAGATCTTCAGAGACTGCCTGAAGGCAGAGGTCGAGTGCGACGGATTTCCCAAACCCCTCCTGTAGACCACAACCCACCGAGGAAGTCTCACAAGAAGCTCCAAGTTGTCATCTGTGTTCTGCTCGTGGAGCTGTGTGAAAGGTTCTCTTTCTTCGGGATTGTGTGTAACATGATCATCTTTTGTACCGTGAAGTTGGGCTATGACAACTACCTGGCAGCAACAGTCAACCTGTGCTTCATCGGAGCCAGCACCCTGACCCCTGTTCTGGTTGGGTGGTTCGCAGAAACCTGCTTAGAACGGACTAAGGTGCTTTACCTGTGTGCTCTTCTTCATTTCTTTGGTAAGAGACCGTTAAAAACATCTACCACAGTCTATTAGGGTGGAGTGCATCTGTTTCATTCTCAGCTTTTCATTGCCAAGAGACAAAGTACAAATTACTGCAAGAATAAGTCTAGAAAGTCTGCACCTCCTTGTGTTCTCCTCTAGGCACAGCCATGCTGCCTGTGGTTGCGTTTCCATTTGAAGATTTCTACATCGACACTCATCACATGACCCACAAGCTGAAACCTCTGGAGCAGCAGATCTTGTTCTACGTGGGCCTTTTGGCTGCTGCACTGGGGATCGGTGGCATCAGGGCCGTCCTCTGTCCTCTGGGAGCCTACAGCCTGCAGAGCTACAACCAGCACCAGCTCCTGTCCTTCTTCAACTGGTGGGTAGCTCGGCTACGTGGACTCTGCAACTGATGGGGTTGTCTTTAACAAAGACTTCAAGCAGCAGGTTGATTTTGCTGTTACAGATAAAACTGTTCAACAGTTTGCTTTCACACAAAAATGTTTTTTCATAAACTAGGACTTCTGGTGTCTTGTTAATTTTGAACTTTTATTCTACTTCGAAGGCGTTGCTTTCTTAAATCCTTCTTAACGCTTCCTTCCACCTGCGTAATATCACTAAAATTAGAAACATCTTATTTAAAAATGATGCAGAAAAACTGGTTCATGCATTTGTCACGTCTAGACTGGACTGTTGAAATGGTTTGTTATCTGGATGTCCAAATACTTCTTTAAAAAGTCTTCAATTAATCCAAAATGCTGCTGCCAGAGTCTTAACTGGAGTTAGAGTTGGCTTCTAATGCTGCTATAGGCTTAGACTACAAGAGGATAAATTGACCTCATTTCCTTAAATACTTTGTTAAAATTAAATAGTTTTCATTCGATACTATTTCTTTATTTATCTTAACATGTGATTCTTGACCTGTCATTGTGTATCTGTTCCTCTCAAACCAGCCGGTCGAAGCAGATGGCCGCTTGTCCTGAGCCTGGTTCTGCTAAAGGTTTCTTCCTCATGAGGGAGTTTTTCCTTTCCACTGTCGCCTTCATGCTTGCTCAAGATGAGAGTTCAATGATGGAGTTAAACTCAAATCAGTCTGCTCCTCTGATAAATAGTGTTAAATTATTATTTTTATACATAAATGTTTCTGTTCTGTGCTCTGAGACGACTTCTGTTGTGACTTGGTGATATATAAATAAACTGAATTGAATTGAATTGAATTAAATCGAGTTTTATGTTCCTGCCGAGAGAGAGGTTTATTTTCTGGTGAGAAGGAAAGTACTCGAGAAATTTTCCAACACCTTTGCCATTTTCATTGTATTGCCACTTTCCCTAACCACTTCATGAATATTAAAAGCAAATGTATTTGGATTAGTGGGAAATTTCTAGATACTTACTGATGTCAAATCATGTGTGAATAAAAAAAAACGCAAAGAAACAGAAAAAAAGTTGAAAGTAAAATAACAAAAATGGATTAAAATTGTATTTTAGCATGACCATCATATTTTTCTCTTCTTCTTGAGGTAAAAACGAGTTACTTGCAGTAACTGAAATACTTAAATTACTTTTTACCCTTTTGTTGTTGCTTGTTGGATTTATTTCTTTCAGGTTCTACTGGCTGGTGAATCTGAATTCCATGGTTGTGTTTCTGGGCATTGCTTACATCCAGCAGTCTGTCGCCCAAAATTTGGGCTTCCTTATCCCCTTCACCTCTGTGCTGTTGGCTCTTATCGCCATACACATGATGCGCAACAAACTCACCTACAAACCCAAGAAAGGTGACCCAAATAAGAACACATGGACACCAAACATAATTTATGAAATAAAAAAAACCTGTTTCTTGCTGTGACTGCTCTCAGGTGGATCGCTGCTGACCACACTGGGAGTTTTCTTAAACTCTTCCAAAATGTGCTGCCTCCACTACCGTCACCTGAGTGGAGACGTGGCGTCTTGGCTGGACAGGGCGAAAGAGAACAACGGCGGTCGATACAGCGAGACGGATGTGGAGAACGTTAAAGTTCTGATGAAGCTCTTTCCTCTTTACGGGCTTCAGCTGCTGTACAGAGCCTGCATGGCACAGGCAGGTCCCTGAGGAAACATCATGATAAAACACAACAAAAATGCATTTGTGCAAAGAGGTTAAAGATGGATTTTCCACAGATCCCCTCAGGTTATTACATACAGACCATGAACTCCAACCTTCACCTGAACAACGTCCTGCTGCCCATCGCTGCCATGAACGTGGTCAGTATCCTGCCTCTGCTGCTCTTAGCTCCTCTGATGGAGTTTGCAGCAACCTGCCTGCTCTCCGTGGCGAAAACCCCTCTGGCGCCTGCAAAAGTCATAAGTAAGTGAGCCACTGCCACACATACATCCCACATGACTTTTATCATCTTCACCTGAATGTCAATATGATTCTCTCACTGCCATTTTCTTTCCTGAACTCACACCCCGCTCATTCTGCAGCCCTCTTTCTCATCACCCCACCCTGTCCATCCTCCCTTTCCAGCTCTGGGCCACGCGTGTGCCGCTCTGTCGGTCCTGGTGGCAGGTTTGTTTGAGCTGCACAGGAAGACCTACCCCCAGGTGGAACAGACCCTCTCTGGGAAGGTTCTGCATGTGTCGTCCATGCCTTGTTTCCAGCTGGCGCCTCAGTACATCTTGCTCGGTGTGGCCGAGGCTCTCGTCACCCCAGCATGTGAGTAAAATGTCTGCATGATTCCTCTGAAACATCCAATTTATGAAAACATCACGATTTCTCTATAGGTTCCCTCATATCCTTCCAGCTGACCCCGAGCCACATACGAGGAATCTCTCTGCATTTTCTCACTCTGTCCTACGGAGGGGGCTGTTTTCTTGGAGCTCTCATCGTTCAGCTGGGGTACTTCTGCTCTGGAGGTAGAAATGAGAGTCACTGTGAGTTACTTTGTTTTACCTTAATCCAGTCATTTGTGAAGCAAGAGTGTCTGGATCTCATTGCAGGAAACTTCTATCCAAGCACACTGCATGATGGGAATCTGGAGCGTTTCTTCTTCCTCTTGGCCTCGCTGATGGCCATAAATACTCTTGTCTTTTGGAAAGTGTCATACAGGTACAGCATATCTATATGTCTATACAATAAGACGTAATAAATGTATAAATAAGAAGAATCCAGGCTGACTGTGATTTATTCTTGGTGCCTTGCAGCCTCTCAGTTTTAATCTTGTTGTTGTTTAGGTACCTGGACCTGAGTGTGCGAGGTAAAGCAGTGACCAGCGGCGCTCTGACCGACAAGCTGTTGCGTTACAAGGCCACTCTGAGCTTCTACGACACCGTCGAACACCTCTCCATTGACTCAGTTTTATGACTGTCTTCATCCAGATCTCTCTTGTTAGCGGCGCCATCGCTGTGCCATTCTGTGTTTAAAAGATTTAACAGTGAGCGCCTTGAAAAAATGTTCATTCCTCTTGAACTTTCCCGCATTTTGTCACATTATAACCACAAACATGAAAGGGTTTTATCAACATGTGTTGCATCAACAGAAATTTGTGCATAAATGTGAAGTGGAAGAAGTATTTTGGGATTTGTCTCTGCCAGCGTTAGACTGAAACTTTTGCTCATTTTTCTTTGCAACAAAGCTCAGACTGGATGGAGAGCATCTGCTAACAACAGTTTTCAAGTCTTGCCAGACTCTCAGCTAGATTTAGTCTGGACTTTGACCGGCACATTCTAACACCTGAACATGCTTTGATCTAAAAATATTCAACTTCATCTCTGACTGGATGTTTTGGGTTGTTGATCTGAAAAAAGATGTCCAAATCTGACGTTGTTTTTCTATTCTGCCTTGAATTTAACCCGACTGATCTTCCCATCAATTTTGACCAACTTCTCTGTGCCTGCAGAAGAAAAGCATCCCCACAGCATGGTGTTGCCTCTACCATGTTTCACAGTGGTGTGTTCAGGGTCATGTGCACTATTAGTTTATGATATTGTTTTATAACCTAACTAGTTTATAACCCAACTAGCTTTAAACTTCTCCAAAACTTTATTCCTGACTTGTCTGGTGTGTTCCTTGGTCTTTGTGATCCTGATTGGTCTCTAACGTTGTGTAAAATATAAATATATATATTTCAGGTGCATTTATACTGAGATTAAAACACACTTTTTTTATTTACTATTCAGGTTACTCTGTTTGCACCAGATTTTAGTTATTGGTATCAGATTAAACACTCAACGCCACACTTTTCAGATTTTTATTCATCAAAAAATGTTGGAAACCATGCGCCATTTTCCTTCTCCGTCACAAATATGTACTACTTTGTGTTGGTCTATCACATAAATATATCTTAAAATGTGTAGTTGTAATGAGAAGACCAAATGAAGAGCTCAGCTATTAACTCATGAGTTAATCTCATGAGTTAATAGCTGACCCCACTCATGAATCCATTACATGGTTAGCACCATCTTGAGCCTCCGTGTCTTCTTCCTGTAGTTTTTGTGATTGTGCTGCTGCACCCGCTTTTTGTTTCTGTTTAGTTTAAATTAATAGTTGTTTTATTAAGATTATCACGTTCTGGTCTGCATCTTGGCTCCAAATCCTCCACCATCCCGCTGATACTGCTACGTGATCAAAGTCAGTCAAGTGTGCACGTTTGTAGCTTTTTACAAAAATTTACTAAATTAAATGTGTAAGAATTAAAGTATGAGTATATAAATGGCTGTATGTTTATTGGGATTTGTGCAAAAAAAAAACAACTAACAAACATGAAAAATGAAATGGTTCACAAATATTCAGATTTCAAAATAATCTAGTTCAACATGTGTAAAGACTAGATAAAGCATTAGTCATCAGTTAGTAAAATAAAGAATAAAAAAAAACAGTTATAATGAAAGCATAAAAATAATATTTTAATAAAAAGTGATTACAGCATCCCCGTGACCCAAAATGGAATAAGCGGGTAAAGATAATGGATGGATGGATGATTACAGCATGCAGGTTTATTAACTCTTATTTGTTTTACACTTAAGTATCTCAAACATATAATTCAGTCATGGTGATTTAGTGTCATCTAAATCATCAAGAATTAAAAATGCATCACATTTTTGTAATTCACCTGGATTCTTTATTAAACTTTTGGAATGAACAATTTAAAATATCCTAAAATACAAATGTTTTTCTGGAATGTTTACAAACATGAACATTATATTAAATAATGAGATGTTTTTTCTTTAATAGTTTTTGTCTAGTTTACACTAAATGTGCTCAGATGAGCCGGAAAAATGTCAAAGTTAAATTTGGCATATTGTCAGTGTTGCACCTAGATCAACAGAAAAGCCTGGATGGAGTGGCTCGGTGAAGCTGGTCTGGATCTGGTGCAGGAGGGTCAGCCTGTCAGGCCTTGAAACGCTGTAGAAGCTCAGCTTTCCTTCGTCATATTCCAGGTGCACGCCCAGTCTGCGGGCGCGAGCCGGCGAGATCTGACCTCTGTGGAGATTGTTGTGCCAAAACGTGCATCCAGAAGGAGAGCAGGTAAATTTCCAGGACAACTTGTTATGGCCGAAACAGCTGTCTTTGCCTGAACCCTTCCTTTGTATCTTTTTGTACGACACGGCCACCTCGATGATCCCGCCGTCCCACTCTACCTCCCAGTAATGGTTACCCTGAAGGCCCTTCTGGCACAGAGCCTGGTAAAAGTAGGTGAATCTGTCAGGATGATCAGGATGAGCCTGGCCCGTTATTCCCCATGAGATCTCCTTCTTTGTTTTTGTCAGGTAAAGACATGCATTCACTGTGTCTGGATCCAGCTCCAGCTCAGTGCCTGAAGGAGAGGATTCATTCAACCTTTATTTATACAGGTTAGTCTATCAGCTCGTTCAGCTGATGATGCTTTTCAACGTGTTTGAGCAAATATTCATGAAAGTACTTACAATAGGGCAAAATGTCTTCTCTTGATGTGATTTCCATGTAAGGCTGTTTTACAATCTGTAACGCTGAAAGATATGCATACATTTCAGAAAACATATCAAATGAGGCATTATTTCAAATTAAAGGCTTAAAGTTCCTTAAGGAATGCGTATCGCTCACCACCTTTCATGCTAGAGCTTTGACTAAGACCACTGCCTGTTAAGAATTACAAAGCTGTAGCTGTTTTGGGTCAAACTTTAAAAATAATGTTATGCCGACGCACGCAGCGTCCTGCGATGTCACTCTCTGGATGCTGTCACCGAGATGAAAATTACTTTTAGATATAAACACAAAGTTTGTTTTCTCAGTCATCCAGGTATATAACAACAAAAAAGGTTGAATCATGTCATCTGGACTTCGTTTTTTTTGTTAAAAAGAAACGTTTCGCCCCTCATCCAAGAGGCTTTGTCAGTCTGAGGCCTAGCCATCTGGTATTACCCAGAAGCCACCCTGACTCTTGTGTTTCAAGCCTGCCTCAGATACCCCTGAAGTCTGGCCTTTTCACTAATGGTTTCAAAAACTTTTAGATATACATACAATGATTACTTTCTGCAAATTTCATTCAAATCCATCGGGTGGTTCAGGAGATATTTGGTCACAGACACACAAACAAGCATAGACACAAGCAAGAACATAAAAAATGCCTGATCATACTTACTTGTAATGTCTTTTAAATGACTTAATAATTCATCCTTTTGTTTGCCACACATCCTTTTCAAATTGTCTTTGTGTGCAGTTACAAAGTCTGTCAGTGTATCGGGTCCTTCTTGTGGGTTTGTGAACACAGGAAGGTCACCGAGGGCCTGGAAATCCTGCAGCAGCCGAACAAACCCAAAGTGCAGAGGCTTTTAGTGCAAGCAGTTCAAAACGAGTTATAAAACGTGACCAAATGAGGTTTAATCACCTGAAGGAATTGAACGGGATCATCTGTTTGAGAAAGCTGGAGGAGTTTATCCTCCATCCCCCTCAGCTCATACACTTCACGCTCCAGCGGGCCGAGGTGACTTTTGGTCCAGTCCACTCCAGTTTTCTCCAATTCTCCAACTTTCTCTCTCATCTCGATGCTTTTCTTCTCCAGGAAGAGGGCGTATAAAGGGATGTGTCGTTCAAAGTCATCACACGCCTCCCAGGCAGCATCCTTGTAACAAAACAAAACCTTCTTTCTCAAGCTGCTAAGCTTCTGATGCTTGCTCTCCTGAGCATGAAAACATCTAACTTGTCTTCTAACTGAATGTTTAGGGAAAGAAGAGCTGTTGCACAGGAAACACCTGCTGCATCAAACATTTTACACCCCAGGTCTAGTTGCTCTTCATCATGACCGCAAATGTTTTGTTTTTCTTGCATCCAGATAAAATTTTTAAAAAAAATTAAAAAACACGGAAATGTATTTGGTGAACAAAGTCTGAGTTTAGCACTCACTCTTATAGAGTCTGCAGCATCCATCAGCTGATCCATTTTACTCTGCGAAACATTCACTCTGTCTGCTATTTCCTTTCTGGTCCAATCCAGTCGATTCTGTGAAAACAGAAATCCATGAACATTTAAGAACTTCACTGCTCATTAACACGTGACTTCAAGATATCCCTGAACTGATTTACCCGTTTCTCACAAACTGCTGCTGTGACTTCTACGATGTCGTGACCTTTGTGTTCCACCACACAAAGCGGGCACAGCAGCTGCTCATCAGAGCGACAGTAAATCTCCAGACGTCTGTCATGACGGGGGCAGATGCTTTCTTTGGCTCTGGAGGAGGCCTGAATCAGGAGGTGCTTCTTCAGTGGCGCCACTTCAAGGTGAGGCTGCAGATGCTCCTCACAGTAAGAGGCCATGCACATGAGGCAGAACATCTTGGCTGTTCGTTTTCTCTCTGTGCAGACGTCACACCGCACATCTCCCGGTGAAGCAGGGTCTCCTTGAAACCCTGTGGAGAAAAATTTGTCTCACATGTAGTCACACAAGCGAATAAGATTTATTTACTAGAAGAGTCACAAATGCATGAACAGTTTTTTTTCTAAATGCACACACTTCGGACTGTACAAGTTATCCTGCGTAAACAAATGGTCAAATATATGTGCACAAAACACCTGCTGTGCATGAATCAGCTTGACTGAATGTGACTTTTAAAACTTTCTTATGGCTCCAGATTCACAATGCGATGCTGCATTCAAGGCTGGTGAAGAGCTGGGACGTCTGAACGTTACCAGATGTACTGGGTTATTAGAGACAATTTGTTTCTGATTTGGCACAGGAGCTCATAACCCACAAAAACACTTACACTGACATCGCTGCATCCCAGAAATGTTTATTATGTAGACTATACATTTGAAATAAATTACTCAGAATGTTTAGGTTATGGTTAGGTTCATCCTCTGCAAAAACTACCAGGAAATTATATGCATAAATTATATTTTTCTGGTAGTTTATACACAAAAAATATTTTTTTCTAATAGACTTTCCGCATGACGAGTAACCTACGATTTTAGGTTATTTCTGACGTACAGTCCACAAATATTTTTAATTGAGTAACGTCAAGGTAAGGATGTTTTAATACAGCAGTTATAAGCAACTATGCCAAGTTAGAAAGATTTTACCAGTAAAAGCTCCGCATAGAGTGGTGAAGGCTGCACAGAAGTCTGTTGGAGTCAGCCTCCCCACCATCACAGACATCTACACCTCCAGACGCAGGAAGAGGGCCACCTGCATCATGAAGGACCCCACTCACCCAGCACACACACTTTTTGCCCCACTCCCCTCAGGAAGGAGGTTGAGGAGCATTAAGTGTAGAACCACTAGACTGAGGAACAGCTTCTACTCCGAGGCTGTTAAGACTCATGAATCTCTAATCAGAATAATCACTGAAAAATCACATCATGTTGCTGCTGATCTGTTTCATGTTGCTGCTGATCTGTTTCATGTTGCTGCTGATCTGTTTCATGTTGCTGTGTTCATTCGTGCTCATCTGCTCACAAAGACTCATGTTCATGCTGCTGTTTGGCATATTGTTTTTATGCTATTAGTGCTTAGCGTATTTTTAGTTAATATTTTTCTTAGTTCATATCTTAGATCTTATTACTGGTTTTCCTTTACATTTTATTGTTGGATGTAACTGGGACCCTGTGTACAAAATTTCGTTCCACCACATGTACCACATGAGGTGCGAATGACAAACAAACTCTGGCTCTCTCTCAGTAACCCAGTAAATCTTGTCAGGATCAGATGTCTGAGTTTTTCACGAGCCTTGAACGCAGCATTCAGTCTTGTTATAGTGTGAGAACATTTGAGACTTATTTTACACCATACCACTTTGATTGTTTTTCCTCTTTTGTTCTTCCAACAGGCCAGCCAGGAGAGTGTTCTTCTGAAGAACAGGCCTTGTTCTGAAAGTTGTCCGGCACTGAGGACAGCTGTATTCTCCTCCATTGTTTGGTGTTGTATCCCAGAAAATGTTGAGGCATTTCATACAGTAACTGTGTCCACAAGCAGTGGTAACAGGATCTTCTAATAACTGTAGACAGATGACACAGTCGAACAGCTCTGAACCATGCGCCATTTTTCTCCAGCTCATACTGGAAATTACTTTCAGTTTCCTAGTGGGAGGGTTTTGAAAGCAGCTAGACTGCCTTAAAGTGAACAACTCTCTTCCACTAGAGGTTTGAAACTTTTTGTTTTAGTTTACGATACTTGTTACAAAAATAGACAAACTTCTCTGATTTTATAGTATAATTTAGAAGTTTAAAGTTCAACTCACAGCTCTGATGTCATTTTGAAAGTACTCTTTATGAACTGTGCAAACAAACTTTTAAAATGGTATCTGAAGAGCAAATAGTTTGACAGCATTTCTTCCACTAGTTTTCCAGATTTATGTGATCCTGAATCGTGGGTCCACACTTAAAACAAAACAGGTTTGTCTGTGTCGTGGTTATAAAACTATATCAGTTGGAAAAAAAAAAAAAAAATAGGGCAGAAAAAAGTTTTAAGAAAAATAACACTGTTTGGTATTTTGACTAAAGTAGTATTTGGTTCATGGTAGTATGTGAGAAGTGTAAATGGAAAAAAAACACCAAAATTCAATCCTCAGTTGAAGTAAAATTCATGTGAATAAGATGCACTGTGATTGATGATCTAGTGATCTATGATCGATTGATCTTGCAGCTTAAAAGCCACAGAATGATGGAGTAAAATGATAATACATTTTAAATGCATTTCCTTTAATGTTACCTTTCTGACTACAATTGTAGTCTATAGAGAGTAACTTTTCAAAGTAACTTTTCAAAGTTTATGTTTTGAGAGTTTATTTACTGGGCAGTATGATAGGGTTAGGTTTAGATTTAGGGGTTAGCAGTTGGTAAAGCTACTGCCCTTCAGCGAGCAAGTTGCCCCGATTCAAATCACGGCCGGGAACCTTTCTGAGTGGAGTTTGCGTGTTCTTTCCATGCATGCCTGGGCTTTTTCCAGGTACTCCGGTTTCCTCCCACAGGCCAAAAACATGCATGTTAGGCTGATTGGTAACTCTAAATTGTCTCTAGGTGTGAGTGAGAGAGAGAATGGTTGTCTCGCTTGTCATGTGGCCGTGATGGACTGGAGACCTGCCCAGGTTGTCCCCCACCTCTCACACAGTGATAGGTGGTCATGGGCACCAGTGACCCTCGTGACCTAGAAAAAGGAAGAAGTGGGTTAAGATAATGGATGGATAAGTTTATTTACAGATCATCACCCAATTGGTTGCGTCTGAGTTATCATAGGGGAAACTGGTCACATCTGTTCCTCCATTACAATACTCAACAAGGTCATTTTCCCCCAAATATGGCAGATGGACATCATGCCAACTTCGAGAATACAGCACAAGAAAAAAGTGTATTTTTTTTGCCTTGTGATTTTTATCCATCCATCCATCCATTATCTTTACCCGTTTATTCCATTTTGGGTCACGGGGGTTGCTGGTGCCCATGTCCAGCAATCACTGTGCGAGGGGCGGGGTACACCCTGGACAGGTCGCAAGTCCATTACAGGGCCACATAGAGACAAACGAGACAAACAACCATTCACTCTCTCACTCACACCTAGGGACAATTTAGAGTTACCAATCAGCCTAACATGCATGTTTTTGGTCTGTGGGAGGAAACCGGAGTACCCGGAGAAAACCCACGCATGCACGGAGAGAACATGCAAACTCCACCCAGAAAGGCCCCTGGACCGGGGTTTGAACCAAGGACCGGCTCGCTGAGAGGCAGCAGCTCTACCAGTTGCGCCACCGTGCTGCCCCTGTGATTTTTATTTATTTATTTATTTTTGGTGACATTGCAGTGACTAACGAGTTAAATAAAATGTGACTTACCAGTATTTGTAGTCTTCATTTTTCTCGTCTATCTCGTCTAGTAAATGTTCTATTGAAGTTTCTTATCGTAATTGTGTGCACTTGTCGAAAAATACTTGAAGTACCTGTACTCTTAAGTATTTGAATATTACAAATAAATCTATGTGCAGCACAGGGACAAAAAGTGCCACCAACTGCTGATTGTTGAGCTCGGAAGGCCTCATGTGGATTAATTTTCTTGCCGTTTTTTATTTAATCTAAAATTTAACTCAACTGTTTTTGTTGTTTTAAAATGGATTTCTGTCATAGCACATAGCTTATGGTCCAAGGGTGTGTTTTGTGCAAAACAGCAAACAAAAAAAGACTCAACCACAAAGTGCTGCAGGTTTGACCAGTGAACGTTTAGTCCAAAAGACAGAAAAAAAAAAATAGAAACCAAACTGAGCACTGGGATCTGACAAAGTACAAGACAAACTGGGGAAGAATTTAGACAGATCTGACCACTGTAAAAGACAATGAACAAAGACTGTGATAAGAGCAGACCAAAATTATTTTGCAGAATAAAAACAAAACTAGATCCAAGTCTGATCTTAAATGAAGATTGTCTGACCTTTTATGTTGGCGTGCCGTTGTCAGACATAAAATTACACCTCACACCTGCATGTCTTCAGCTTAAACATTTTCTGTAATGTTTAACGTAACACCCAGGGAATATAGACTGAAAGGATCAGACTTCAATACCATTAAGAATGAATAGTGATTTATTATCAGCAAAGGTATGAGGAGGAACTGGAACCCTGGAGAGAAAGAGGTGCGTATGTAGAGTTCTGAACATGGTTGATTTTAGAGATAATGATCCTTACAGATGGGCTTTGAGGATCGTCAGGGAACAGGAGTACAAATGTTCCAGAAGTATAAAGGAGGGTGTCCAAGGTGAGTCCAGCTGAGGGAGGCTAGTGGTAAGAAGGCGAGGAGACAGCTGAAGAGGTCACGAGGGAATCCAAGGCCAAACAGGAGGAGATCAAGATCAGGATACAGCTGAAGTCGATGCTGAAACACATAAGAACACCACATTAGACTCGTCTTTATCTTTGGGCAAAGCAAGTTGCCTAGAAGCACAACTACCATAGGCGTATAATGCAACAGCGGTGAGGAGAAGTCATATACAGCCTTTTAAGCTCCAACCTCTCAAGGGGGATGATCCACAGGTGTGGCTGGTTGGCACATCATGTGACTTCTGGCTGTGGAGAGAACTGAACTCCTACATTTTCAAGAATCAAGTCAAGCTGTGAAGAAACAAAAGCACCACAAAGCGGAGCAACATACACCCCAAAGGGATAAAAATCAGTTTTCCTTAAATTTTCCTTTCAGCAATAGTTTACATTAGAGTTTTCACCATGTAATAAATAAATCTGACATTTGTGTTATTATGCTTTGTAAATATTTTATTGCATGCCATACAGAACAATATGGATTTGAACAGAATACCTCAGTGATAGTTGTAAAATAAGTGGCAATACAGAAAAGAGATGCACGTATATACAGTAGATCACAACATGCATACGTTCGTACGTTGTGCTAGAATAGTAAGAATAAAATGCCAGCACTGTTCAACATAATTACTTCCCAAGTTTACCAATTTTTGTTGAATTCATATTATGGATGTAAGAGAAGTTTAGCTGACAGGGATATGAAAATATAGCCATAACTCCGGTAAGAAAGGGATGCAGCACAGAATGCAGACGTGCCCAGCCTCTCATCATGATCATACTTTCCACCTTAAAAAATCCTTAAAGAGTCCTTAAAAATGTTTAAAAGGAGTTCAGCTGACAAGAAAACTGCTAACCAACAGGTGAGTCATGCCATAATGTTGTATGACCCTATGAGTGTAACAAATTAACAGGAGTATTTTCAAAGTAAGGAACTCTTTTAACACTGATGTCTACTTTGCAAGTGTTAAGACACTAATAAAAGCAGGCAGTCTTGAGAGTCTGCATTTTCTAAAGACGGTTGATTATCTTGAGTGAGGCTCCTCTGGAGACCATGAAGCCCGGGTACAACGGCTGGGAGAAAGTGGTCTGAACCTTATGAAGGAGCGTCGTCTCACCAGAGTCAGACACATCATAAAACCACAGGCTTCCTGCTTTATGGTTCAAATAAATCCCCACTCTAGACGAACGTGGAGCAGGTATTTTTGTTTTGGTCTCGTTGTGCCAAAACGTGCACTCATACTTTGAGAAGGAAATGCACCAGGACTTGTCAGAGTATCCAAAACAGCTTTCATTCAGTTTTGCTCCTTTATAACACACAGCCACCTCAACCCGGGGCCCCTTCCATTCAACTTCCCAGTAACAAACCCCAGATAAACCCTCACAGCACAACACTTGCTCATATTTGGAGAATCTCTCTGGGTGGGAGGGGTACTGCTGGGCTTTCTTGATCCAGGTCACCTGAGTATTTTTCTCGGAGAGCAACAGGTTCTCAAAGGCTGTGTTGGGATCCAAATAGAGGTTTAAGGAATCTGAAATGTGCAAACAGGAAATTATATTTAGTTTGATCACTACTGAAGCTCATAAACTCAAAGTAAAGGCTTAGAATGCACATCACCCGCAGCCTTTCACGACAGAGATTTAATTGAAGATGGCTGCCAAAGTCACAACTTCAAGATGTTTTAATGCTTGGAACTGAGGAAGACTTAGCTACTACCATACAAACCTTATCTCTTTTTGATTAATATAGCATAGAGCACTGGTTCCCAGTCCTTGAGGAACACCATCCTGCATGTTTTAGTCATTTCCCTGCTCCAACACACCTGATTCAGTGATTTATTTACTTCCTCGTGTTCTGCACAAGTCTGTTAATCACCCATTACTGGTAATTAAAATCAGGTTTGTCAGAGCAGAGAAACAACTAAAACATGCAGGATGGTGTTCCTCAAGGACCAGGGTTGGGAACCCCTGAGATTTATAGCCCCATTAGCATGGCAGCCATCTTGAATTGAGTTTGTTGTATATTTTTTGATAATTTCATTCAGTTTTTTTTCTGTTGTTCATGAAACAATTGGTTAAAAACATGCAGTGTTGACGAGAACAATTAACGTCAAAGATTTAGGTAAAGATGTTGCTCAACGACTAGCGCTTTAAGTATCTGCCGAGGATGACTCAGCTGCCTGCTACCACACCACATTTTAGTTTAATAACTGCAGAACTGACGGAGTTACGGCAAACTTCATATTGCTAGTGTTGACTGACTCTGGCGGCCATCCTGAATTGAGTTGATGCCAAAACATTTAACTTGTAGATGTGTACTCGATTGTTTTTTGACAGTTTCATTAAAATATGTTTTGCTATGGATACACACACACACAAATATACACAAGGATCATTGCTCTGCCTACGCCGGTGAGTGATAACTCACATATTGACATTTCCTGTCTCGTCTTCGGATCCATATCAGCTACTAAAGACAAAAAATAAACACCATATACTGTATGAACGCTGACATAGCAGCATAAAACAGGCAAATATAATTGATTTGGTTGTAATCTTTAAATTATTATCTTACACGTTTCAGAAGTCTCTCCGATAGTTTTTGCCATGTTTTCCATTTTGTCGCTCAAGTCCGAGAAAGCCTTTGTCACAAAGTCAAAAGCTAAGTGTGGCTTAAAGTTTAAATCTGGGGTCACATCGTGTTCTGTGTGGCCCAGAATCTGCTTGCAGTGCTAGAAAACATGTAAAATGAGAAAGACAGAATCAAATAGAATGCTACACACATGCCATATAAAATGTATTGTATGGAGGACGGAATGTAACAAAAATGAAATAAATAAATACATAATAATGAACTGTATCATTTAGATATTAAATACATAATTAAATTATTAAATACACAATTAAATATACAATTAAATTATTAAATACTCAATTAAATGATTTATTTCATGATTTATTCAATTATTTAATTTTGTCACATTCCACCCTGGTGTGGTCACCACCATGAAATTATGTTAACTGTCAGTCTCACTCATCAAACTCAGTGGGCGGGACGAGGGCGGGACTAACGCTGAGCATTTGAAATCCATTGCTTCTGTCTGTGCTTTACCATACCATACCAATTTATTTATATAGCACTTAAAACAGCAACAAGGCCAACCAAAGTGCTGTACAAAAGAACCAAACATGCACAGCAGACAGGAAAACATAAAATAGAAATACAGATACAAATAGCAGCAGAAGCTAACTAAAATGGCCAACAGAGTAGAGAACAGACCAGACCAAAACAAATCACACCGTGTTAAAGACAAGAGAATAGAAGTGGGTCTTCAAGCGAGACTTAAAGACTGAGAGTGTGGGAGCCTGCCGGACACTCAGTGGCAACTCATTCCACAGTCGTGGACCTGCAACAGAGAAAGCCCTGTCACCCCTGAGCTTACGACGGGTTTCTGGGACTGCTTTGGTGAAGTCAGTTCAAACATGGCAGCTCCCTCAATGTAGGAACTTAATTTGCTCTCTCGTGAACGGGTTAGAGATATTTTAAGCCAAGCTAGGGATATATGGAAGCTGGAGCTTCTCCCCCAGAGCTTGTGATATTTTCTGGCCTGTGCATCAATCCATTATCTGCGCTCAGTTCATCTTCATTTGTTGTGAGAAGCAGCCAATCAGGCGTCAGGGTTTGTTCACGAGCCGTCCTAGTCCCGCCCACTGAGTTTGACGAGTGAGACTGACAGTTATCACAATTTCATGACGCCACTGGAGGGTAGAAGGTGATAAAAATAAATAAATAAATAAATCTTGAAATAAATAATTTAAAAAGGTACATTATTTAATAATTTAATTATGTATTTAATAATTAAATGATACATTTAATTGTTATGTTTGTACTATGTATTTATTTCATTTTGTCACATTCCGGCGTCCATCGGAATGTGACAAAATTAAATAAATAAATAAATCATGAAACAAGTAATTTAACTGTGTATTTAATGATTTAATGGTGTATTTAATGTTTAAATGACACGTTTCATTATTATGTATTTATTTCATTTTGTCACATTCGTTCCTCTACAGTATTGTGGCGTACCTACCTGCAGAAAATAAATGTTGTCCTCAGTTAACGACAGCTGCTTCAGTTCATTCTCTTTTTTCTTGAGATCCTTAATTTCCTTCTCAAATCGGTCCACGAGTGACTCCGCTCGACCCAGAGCTGCCTTTTCCTGATGTGTGATCTGCTCCCTCACAGCTGAACGCCTTTTGTCTGCCATCAAGATGATTTCAGCATAGGCCTTCTCATTTTGGTCAAGAGCTGCGTCTCGAGAGCACTGAAGCAATACAATAAACGAGTAATTACTTATTTTACATAAATATACACTTGTATAATATTTGCCAGCTAAAACAAGGCCGCTTACCTTCAATGCTGTTATTTTCTGTCTCAGCTGTCGCAGCTGTTTCTCTTTTTCCTGAACTCCTTGGTGGTATTTTTGCTTCTTCTGTCCAAATTGTTTCTATTTTTTTTTTTTAAGAGTTCACCTCATCGTGTTAAATTTCACAAGAATGCACATTTGACAGAAATACAGAAACAACACATGCAGTTTTATCCCACATCCTGTATTTACAAGAATAACAAAAATCCTCACTAAATTGAAACGGAAACCAAATTTTTAAACGGCACAGCTATTTAAACCCTACAGCTAACAGAACAAACATCTTACTTGTTTCTCTTTCCTCTCTGCTGCAGCCGACACAGTGTCGTGACCTTTGTGCTCGTCCATGACACAAAGCATACAAATGCATTCGTCGTCAGAGCGGCAGTAGACCTCCAGCAGCTTGTCGTGCTTGGAGCAGATCATCTCCTGCATGGAGGCCGACACCTGCACCAGTTTGTGCCTTTTGAAAGCAGCAGACTCGTAGTGAGGCTGCACATGTGTGGCACAGTAAGAGGCCAGACACACCAAGCAAGACTTCACAGCTTTCAGCTTGTTGGTGGTGCAGAAATCACAGTCCACCCCTCCTGAACTGGCTGCAGCCACCCCAGGAGGGGTGTCACGTCCTGTTTCTGTCATTCTGACCATCAGATCAGCCAGCACTGTGTTCTTGTTCAGCACAGGCCTCGAGGCGAAAGTGTGTCTGCACTGGGGACACCTGTACACACCTCTGTGATCCCCTTGGTCCCAGAAGTCGTTCACACAGTCCATGCAGTAGCTGTGGCCACACTGAAGAGTCACAGGCTTCTTCAACACGTCCAAACAAATGGAGCAGCACAGGGAGTCTGGAGCTTCACGTCTTGCAGCCATCTTCTACACCGTTTACTTTCATTTTCTCCTAAATGAAAGCTTGGGGGGGAAGTGGGCGTGGCTTCAATCCTTTTAAACTTTTAAGACTTTTAAGTCTAAACATGCTGTCCTGACGTTCACTTTTCTTTTCTTGTCTTTTCTTTTTGACTGAATCAGTGAACACAGCTCCCTCACTTAGATCTGTAGATCTTTGTTTTTTTTTCATTATTATTATTCTAAATTGTGTCATTGTTGAACTCTATGTTATTCACATTTTGGGGATGTTGTAGTGATATCTAGTTTTACTGACACGATGGGACATCTGTGAGTCGTTAAAGGAGAAAATGTAAGATGAATCCTTAAAGTAATCTTTTTCACTTCTCCGTACGTCGGTGTTGGTTTCCATGGAAACGACGGCAGCTTTTTACGCCGTGAGGAAGAGGCGGAGACCGAGTTTCCCTTTTGATCATGTTTTATCAGCGGAGCGGGTTTGTATATATTTTTTTACGATGGAGCTGCCTGAAACATTGAGGAAACGTTTAGACGACTTTTCTCGGAGTGTTTTATTCGACTGGAGTCGCCATGAGCCGTTCTCTAAAGGCGCCGAGGCGTTTTTGCCTCACGGTAAAACAACAAACGCAGCTAATTTTACAGTTAGCATCGATGCTAGCACCACGTTAGCCCAGAGTTTGTTGCCATCAGGCTGATTTTGGGATCTTTCTCTTCATTTCACGTTTTCAGACAAACGGGTTCTGTCCAGCCTCCAGCTGCAGATGTCTTTGTACTTTAACATCTGGTTCTTCCCGCTGTGGTGGATCAGTGAAACCGTGATGCTTCACCTAAAGGCAGGATACAAACCCACAAATCGTTTCAGTGGTTATATGATTTCTGTTTGGATTTATGTGTTCAGACTGCATTTGTTGATTCATCGGGTGTTTTGATTATTTTTAGTCACATTTGTGTTAGACAATAAAGCATAAAAGGGTGTTTTAAAATCTTGTGGAGGTTATATCTTTTTAAAAGCCATTATTTACAGGACCATTGTTGCTGTGTTATGATTATTAAAAATATGTAAACATTAGTTATATGCAACAACAAACAAAACACAACTCAGATGAACACTGTGTGACTTAACAAACATTTAACTAAAACAGAAGCAATGTCTAAAAGTCTGTATACACCTGAAGGGCCAGTGGCTTATAAAACCTTTCACCTTGAATAAAGGGTGCATATTTACTCTTGATCATAACACAAATAAACAACCATGTTTAAACTGATGCTCAGTTTCATTTACCATCATTAACCTATCAGACATCAACGTGATCGTTGACCTGAGAAGCTGACATTGGTGAGGATGTGATCTTCACCAACTTAGACATTTTGTCCTGTGCACTTTAGTAAAAGTATATTTAGCTATCTCAAACCACAGAAACACAGTTGACATGCTTTTTATTGTAACTTGTTTCTATCAGTATCCTGCCTTGCCAGACTACTACAAGTTCATCCTTGTGACTGTTCTTCTGCTCATGACTCTGATTGAAGCCATCAGGCTTTATCTTGGCTACACTGGAAACTTGCAAGAAAAGGTGAAATATTTTTACAGACGTAGCTAAAGTCTGAAAGAGCAGAAGTCAGCATGAATGTAATTCTTACATTTTGTTTGGAAGGTTCCAGAGTTGGCTGGCTTCTGGCTGCTGAGCATCCTGCTGCAGTTTCCACTCATCTTTTTTCAGCTCTTCAATGAAGCCATTCTCATACAGCCCCTGGAGAGAGGCGTTCATATAGTTCTCGCCTTATTTATACTCACACAGGTATTCTTTTGAAAAAAAAAAAAAACTCACTTAGGCCTACAGTGTGCAGTGCAATGACTAAATACATTATATTTTGTGCACGTGTTTTAGTTTTTGTTCTCAGATTGACTGGAATGTGTTTTTATTCCTGATTGATCCAGGCTGTCTCCGGTTTTGTGGCATTGCGGGACATGGTTACACACACGAGAAGCCAGTTTCATCTCCAACAGTTTGACTGAATTCTGATGTGATCTGGTGTTTCATGGCCAGCCAGGATGTTTTAGCCATACCTCCCAGGCTGACAACAAAACAGCACTACAGGAGGAATATGATATATTTTTTTACACGACTGAAGAGAGAGAAAAAAAAACAATTTTTTTGTATATTTGCCTTAGATGAGATTGTATCTTTATTGTAAATTTGAAATAAATAACTTCTTAATAGCTGTGTATCATTTATTTGACAGATATTTTTTGTCAGAAACACTTTACAAAAGGCATGTTTCAGCAATTCAGGGTAAATTTATTGGTAAACTTTAGAAGAGACTCATTGGTCACCCACACCAATAAAACCACTGACAGTTCATTCATTCAACCTTTATTTAGCCAGATAAGTCACAATGAGCCTAGAAGACTCATTTACAAGTGAGATATGTTCAGACACAAAAAGTAGTGAAACTGGACACATGTAGGAATTGGAGGTGAAAAAATTCCTATCAGACTTTTTCTTCATGCCTGAGAAGAAAAATGATGAGTTGATGAAAACGTCTGGGGAACCTTGAGTTACGAACAGTGTGGCCAAAACCATCAAATTATAATCCAATCAAACATCTGTGGATTAAAAAAATAAATGCACCTTCACAATTTTTACTCAATGTCCTGAAACAATCACCATCAGAATCCTGCTGCAGGACTGAGTTGTTCAAAAAGTCTTTAGAAAACAAATAAACATGATATTTGGCTGATAATTTAAATGTTGAGTGGTCAAATCATCCAACTTGGTGTAACGCACAAAAACATCAACATATCCCTGAAATCCAAAATCCTTTATGGCACATAAAGCTCACTTTAAGAGTTTGCTATAAAATAGTAGATTTGATGAATAATAATAAACAGTCATTTGTATTTTAATATTTTTTTTAAGTCTATAGAGCAGACTTGGGTAATAAATGACCTGAGGCCCAAATGTGGTCCTTGGATAATCTCCATCTGGCCCCCAAATTGAAAAGAAAATTATTTCTTAATAAGATGAAAACCTGCATATTATAAATGAAACTTAAGGAAGTCTAAAGTAAACAAGTACTTGGGCAAATACATTGAACATTTTTGGATTAAACTAGGCTAAAAGCTGTGTTTCCAGAACTTGACTGAACCTTAAAGAGTTCAAAAATCAAACATTGTTTGTTTGGTCTTTTTTGCATATTTAAGCTTATATTGCATTTAATAAATATGTCACAAGAGGCAGTTTACAGAAAGCGTCTTATATTCCTAAAGGGTATTGGGGAGACATAATTTTACTATGTTACAACAAGAAAAAACCTTCAAGATTATTTGTCTAAAATAAATTATTTTATAATTCTTTATGCAGTTTTTGGTTGCTTAATATCTTGATTTGGCCCTCTGGAATAAAATGTTGCCCACCGAATCTCAGTTGTTTGCTCTTAATTTTAAGTCATTCCATGTTTTCCAGATTAACAACAGTTTTTACCAAATGTCTTTTAAAGTTCTTTGTGTACCAGAAAATTGTTACATTTTTACTAGAGAATAGAAAAACCTAATCTTTGGTTGTCCGATTTATTTATTTGTCTTTTTGATGAGACAGACTGCCAGTCATTAGTTTTTCGTGTCTGAGGTTCGTCGTCTGAAAGTGAATTGAGAAAAGTCAATAAAAATGTGAAAACTCACAGAAATGTCTTTTTTCAACTTTTTTTTTCTTTGTCTGCAGAATCTCAAAAGTGTTTTGAGATATCACAGAGATAAGTTATTTGAGTTGATTCAGCTGAATAAAAAGCGTTTTACTGAGATAATAAATGCAAGATGGAGAAAGAGCTCAAGAGGTTTTTTGTGTTTGGGCTCAAATAAACTGCCGAATGATTCAGTTTCTCTCAGTGATCAATGTGACTGCAGTCTCTGATGTTGCTCACAAGATAGTTTACATCCGAACTGTGCCACATCTGCTGGAAAAAAAAACAACAAGATTATATAGTGGGGAAGGTTCAACTAGCTTACACTGATGGATACGGAAAGAGTTGTTTTCCGTTTTTCCTCCGATGAAATGTGTCACAAAAATAACTTGTTAGGATGAACATATAGCTGAGCCTTCAGAGATCCTGGTCCCTGTTCTGCTGCTTGGTTTTTGTTACCAGGTACTTCTGTGTTCGACATGGAGGAAACCTCAGGCAAGTAAATATTTGAGGGTCGTAGAGAATAACTGCTTCTGAAACAGTGCCGACTGCTGGACTTGGTGCTGGAGACAGTTGTCAACGGGTGCTTTGTTGGAACAGCGGTTGGAACCAAGCTGGCATACATAGAAGATGGAGATCCGCTGTGAAAGAAACACCTTTCAGTATGAACATACATGTATGCAGCATGGGCTGTCTAAAGTTAAAGGTATAATTTCTCATAAGGGGTACCTGTGAGGTGCTGTAAAGGATGGTGGCAGCCCTGAAAGAAAAAAAAGCAAGCTTCATAACAGAAGAGAACAGAGACCTGCTTTATGTGCAAACAAACCTCTGCAGTAGGAAAGCCATTGTTGTGGAGAGCAAGGTTGGCACTGCGCGGGAGGAATGACCTTTGGTGGAGGTGGAAGAACACTCAGGTGAAGCAACTGAGAGTAGCATCGCCACTGTTTTCTCTCTTTTTGTTCAACCCCTGTGGAGATGAAATGTAAGAAGCTGCTGCAGAGGACCTCCGATTCTAAAATGGTTCTCAATGATGATTTGATTGTACATAGTTTTGTTCCGCCTCATGTACCACATGTGATGTGAGTGGCAATAAAGACCCTTGAATGGTTCAGTGTCAACAGTAAAGCTTACCTGAGTGAGGAGCCACAGGTGTGCGAGCGCTGCTGAGATGTGGAAACGTTTTGTGCTGCAGGCGTGAGGAGCTCGGGTTTTTCAGACACTTTTCCTAAAACAAAACGTATCAATTAAAGCAAATTTAACAAATTAAATCACAATAAACTGTATTCTTCTGCTTAAGTCTGCAAGTTTCAGTTTATCAAAATATTAAAATGAGAGAATTATGATTTTATTACAGATCAAGAGGTTTTGTTGTTGTTTTACCTTTATGGGCTTGCAGCCTTGCCACAGAATCACCTTACTGGCCTCAATGGGATTTTTTGAAGCAGGAGGTGAGAATTCAGCTTTTCTTGTCAGGCTATTGAGCTTCACACACACACAAAAACATAATTGGATCAAGAATAAATCAGTCTCCTCACCTGGTTGCCTCAGTTTGGAGTACAGATTAACAAAAGTTTATACCTGCACTTTCTTCCTATTACTCTCAACAGGCTTATTTTGATTGCTCTCTTTTTCCTTGTCATCAACCAGTTTGGACTCCTGCAAATAAACCATTCACCCATCAGTCCTAATGCAAGTTACTGACTCATCAGAGCATTCAATGAGGACACTTTCTCCTGGGTCGTTTAATTTTACAAGATGTTTGCTGCTGCTTTGCAGGACTTGTAGCTGCATGTTGCTCCTCACTCTGTCCCGTTGCAGCTGGTCTCTTTCTTTATGACTCTTCACGCGTTTCTTTTTCTTCTTGCATGGTTTCTGTGGGAGAGAACAATATGAGCATCAGGTCTACCACTGAAGGGATAGACTTGATTCAAAACTGTTTTTTTTAAGAAGTCCTTAAAAGTCAAATGTGAACAAACCTTGAGAAAAAATAAAGTTAGGTAAAAAAAAAAGAACATTTAATTAATTATAATTATGTTATTGTGTAAAAAGTGTTAGTTAATTGAATTATTAAGTTAGTCAATTGGATTATTGAGCATGCATCAGGAGATTAATTGAAGTCAGTTATATTTGTTTGTATACCTCTGGATTTTGCACCTGGTTCTGTAGATGAACAGGAAGTCCGTCTGAATCGGAGCTATTAGAACCACTTGTGCTGCAAACATAAGGGAGAGAAATTCACTGAATGAAAACAAGTTTTAAACTAATCCCATAGTTCCTTGGTGGGGCTTGCATACCTCGTTTCCAGGTCAGACACAGAGATGTTTCGGTCAGTGCCCAAATCGTTACCAGTTCTCTCCTTGAACTTCTTATTCAACAATGCTGACAGTTCTTTCAAACAGTATGTAACCTGAAAAACATAAAGAAAGCCTAAAAACCTGATGGATAATTACACTTGTAGTAAATTTAGATTATAAATTATTTTTCTGGAAGTGAGACTGGACCTTGGTAATGCAGTCCATATTTCTATGTAGACATTAAACTCTAACACATTGTTTTGTCTCTCACCTTAGTTTGATCGGGGTCACAGAAGTCCAGCAGGGTGTCACAAAAGTGAAAGCCCAGAGACTTCAAGTCCCGGGTTGTAAAATGGGTCCCTTTCCTGTCATCTAAAGTTAAACCAAAAAAAAAAGACGAAGAAGAAGCCGTAGAAGCTTATGAGAAGATCCCTACAGATATAATAATGCATAAACTCATTCAGGGAACATATACTAACCCAGAGTGGAGCCTCCAAAGGAGGCCTCCATGGTGTAGCTGTTTCTGATGCCAAGTCTCCACATGACGATGCGTGCTGTGCCCTCTTTGCTCCGCTGCACCCGAAATTTGCAGCTCCTGAAGGAAAACTAAGGAGCAGAATGGTTTAGATGTTGTAGCTGCAAAAACAAATTGGTCTTTGGTGGGTTATAAATCAAACTAATAATAAATGCAGAACTTACAGGTCTACTTAAAAGTCAGCAGTAGTTTAGGAAGCCTTGGATTTCTCGATTAAAATGTACCTTATTGCTGACATTCTTGCTCATCATTAGTGGAAAGACCCTCTCTTGGAGTTTGAGAGAAGCCTCGTCGCGGCTGCTGCATCCATACATGAAGGCGTTGTTTTTACGGTTGTGGCCGTGGAAGTCACAATAAAGAACGACTTCTGTTTCAGCCACGAGTCTGGAGAGAGAAAAGTGCTGAAGCTGACACAAAGATTCATTCAGAGCAGAACAAGCGCTGTAGTTTGGTTCTGTTTAATGCTTCCATGATGAAAGGCTTGGTCATTTTGTTTAATGCTGAAAGAAGATAGCAAATTTTACTGTTTTATAAATAAAACATTTGCAGTTGTTGGCTGATATTGGTAACTCTGTAAGACACCTGGCTGGACAATTATTTCTACCTTTTGTAATTTATTAGTGTTTTTAACACTTAACATGTTTATAATGACAAAACTGTGCTTTATTTTTATTTTATTGACTCATATTTTCTATTGTTGAACTTCACTGTAACTGTCTGCTCTCCCTATTGTTAATTAAACTCTCCGTTATCCAAGAACATATGTTATAAATACTTTTTGTTTTTGTCAAAACCCAGTTCTCACTAAATATTCTACACTTTAATCCAATGTGGTTGTTCTTTGGGTTAATAGATGAGCAGTTTCTGCTTCAGATCGTTTGTGGAGTGTTACCTTTCCACCAGATTGCGGATGTGCCACACACAAGGAAATGAATCCCTGAGCAAGGTCTTGTAGTTTCTGTTGAGATCCCTGCCTGCCAAAGAGCAGCGATAGTTGCCCACCACCACGCCATCCGGGTTCAGCATTGGTACCACCTGCAGTACCACAGACAGAGGAAAAAGCTGCCAGAGTATTATCAGAGCGTATCACCACCACTCTACTTTAATGATAGCATTAGGAAGGGGGAAAACAATCACAAAGAAATCTGTCACCTTAAAAATAAAATTATCTCTGAGCACTTGGGCGTCATCTGAGTCCCCAAGCAAAAAGTCAAGGAACCCCTCCATCACCCAGGATCCATTGGTTTCCCCGGGGTGCACTCGGGCCGTCACTACCACGGCTTTCTTGTTCCTGACATCGCGTCTGTCTGCCCCTCTAGACGTTATGATCATGACATACACAGCGTTCCCTGCAAGACTCTGGCACAGAACCCGCACTTTACAGAATGACATCACTGCTGGACTGGAAGAAATCCGCCTGAGGTAGTGCTGCAGGTGTGAGTAGGTGTAGGGGTAGCAGTGGGCCAGATAGCAGGTGTCTGAGCCATAGGGGAACTGAAGAGTCCAGGTGAGTGAGTGCAAGGTGACAGAGTCAGTGTTCTCTTTTGTAGTCTACACAAACAAAAAGGCAAACACTTAAAAGAAATGCATGTTGGGAAGAAGTTATACAGTCCTAAAATGCTTTGAAAGTCTGGCAAACTTTGGATACAAACTAAAGCTGATCCAGTTGTTACCTGGCAGCTGTTCCGATAGTATTTGATATTGGAGCCTGTGTGTTGCCATCCAACAGAGTTTTCTTTTGCAGCTCTCTCAGAGTAAAGGAGCGGCTTCAGGCCCTGACAATACAAACTGCTGCTCTTCGTCAGGTTGACGATGGTGAAGCGGTACGTCTCTCCAGCCTTCATGTTTCTGACTCTGAAGTAAAACCACTGACTGTGCTTTGCGGTGTACATGTCAGTACGCAGGGTGAGCTCATAGTCATACATGCCCCTGACCAAAAAAGAAAAAAAATGTAGAGAAAGAGAAACTGAACTAAAATATAATCAATATATTAAAATATATTGAAATACAATGACTGTAAATAAACAGCAGCAACTTGATTGATTTCAGTGAGGATACTCACACTTGGATGGCCTTCTGGAGGTTGCCGCTTTCAAAGCGTGACTCAAACTCCAGAGTGATGTCACTGACAAAGGAAGTAACGGTCTTAACTGGGCTCCTACTTCCTCCAACACGAGAGCATGTGAAATAGGGATGATTGGTAGCTTAAAGAAACAAGTAAGAAGAGCAGACTTTGAATTTATTTATTTAAAAGTTGTCAAAAAAAAGCTTTAATGTTCTTGAGAAACAAGACAATTTTAACAAATATTTTAGAACTGTGTGTTGATTTGTTGCATATATCAACAAACAGGTTATATATTCTCTAATGGAACGCTGGGTGAAACAGTCTGTCTTGAAGCTAGAAATGGCAAGAAATAATCTGACGGTTCAACAACAAAAACCCACCCTTGTTATCAGGATTTACCTGGGTCACTGCAGTACACCACCTTCCCACGCTCCTCTCCAACAGCAATGGGTGTGTCCTCGTGTCCTAAAGGCTGATAAAAAGGCTCTGGCTCAGGAGGTTCCCACTCTACAAAATATACACTCATTGGTAATTACATTAAATAAAATAACATGGCAAGTCTTCAAACTGTTCAACGTACCACTTTTACTTTTTTCATCTAATTGCATGGTTTGTGATCATTTATCAACCCTAGTGAAGTAAAAGATTTAATAAGAATGAAAAGTTACCTATGTGTTGAATGATGTCACTGATGACCTCACACTCTACGGGCCAACGAGGGCGGGGAACAGTTGGAAATTTGACAAGGTCCCGCGGTGTCTTTAAACTCAGAACAGGTTTGCCTTTGTGAAAGTTTAGGAGCAGCTGCCTCGTGCGCAGGGTCTCACTTAATTTCATAGATACTGTAGGATAATAAATAAAACCTTAAATTATTGATGTTTAATTTATGGCCATACAGTTAAGATGACCACGTCTTAGTAAAAGTGAGATGAAAGTGTGCACACAACTTTCAAATGCAGACATGTTGGTAGCTTACATTGTTTCCTTCCTGCAAATTCCTCCTCCTCTGTGTTAGAGTCACTCATGTCTGATTTGTCCAACTGGTTGGTGTTCCACAAATTCCTGATGACAGAGGTGATGGTTGGTGTTCTCACTGCCTGATAGGTAAAATATAAGCCATTATTTTATTATATTCATGTAACACATTGAAGACAAATATTTAACACCCAACACATTAGCATTAACAGTGTCAACACTACTACAATTAATGATTAATAAACAGTTGGATAAACTCTGAACGGAACACACAGGATTATTCTAGCAGTGCGTTTTCAGCCAAATGGAGCTTAATTCATTAGAACGATCCACAGCATTAATGGCTAATCAGAAGATTTTAAATACTAAAAATTAAATGGGCAAAGTGAAGAACAGTTGAAGTAAAAATAAGGGTGGCAATGTATTTTTGCTCATATTACCCCATAATATTTGGGCCTTTGGAAAATAATGGGCTTTTCTCCAATTTACTGTACACTTGAATGCATTTAATATAAATAAAAAATTTAAATATGAAGAATTTTCATTTATATGTGACTTGAATGTACTGATAAAATACTAAAACACAATTGCGGTATTATGTATAATTTGAAAATACAGGTCCTTCTCAAAAAATTAGCATATTGTGATAAAGGTCATTATTTTCCATAATGTAATGATAAAAATGAAACTTTCATATATTTCAGATTCATTGCACACCAACTGAAATATTTCAGGTCTTTAATTGTTTTAATACTGATGATTATGGCATACAGCTCATGAAAACCCAAAATGCCTGTCCCAAAAAATTAGCATATTTCATCCCACCAATGAAAGACAAGCATTTTTAATACAAAAAACGCCAACCTTCAAATAATCATGTTCAGTTATGCACTCAATACTTGGTCGGGAATCCTTTTGCATGAATGACTGCTTCAATGCGGCGTGGCATGGAGGCAATCAGCCTGTGGCACTGCTGAGGTGTTATGGAGGCCCAGGATGCTTCGATAGCGGCCTTAAGCTCATCCAGAGTGTTGGGTCTTGCGTCTCTCAACTTTCTCTTCACAATATCCCACAGGTTCTCTATGGGGTTCAGGTCAGGAGAGTTGGCAGGCCAATTGAGCACAGTAATACCATGGTCAGCAAACCATTTACCAGTGGTTTTGGCACTGTGAGCAGGTGCCAGGTCGTGCTGAAAAATGAAATCTTCATCTCCATAAAGCTTTTCAGCAGATGGAAGCATGAAGTGCTCCAAAATCTCCTGATAGCTAGCTGCATTGACCCTGCGCTTGATAAAACACAGTGGACCAAAACCAGCAGCTGACATGGCACCCCAGACCATCACTGACTGTGGGTGCTTGAATCACACTGGACTTCTGGCATTTTGGCATTTCCTTCTCCACAGTCTTCCTCCGGACTCTGGCACCTTGATTTCTGAATGACATGCAAAATTTGCTTTCATCCGAAAAAAGTACTTTGGACCACTGAGCAACAGTCCAGTGCTGCTTCTCTGTAGCCCAGGTCAGGCGCTTCTGACGCAGTCTCTGGTTCAAAAGTGGCTTGACCTGGGGAATGCGGCACCTGTAGCCCATTTCCTGCACATGCCTGTGCACGGTGGCTCTGGATGTTTCTACTCCAGACTCAGTCCACTGCTTCCGCAGGTCCCACAAGGTCTGGAATCGGCCCTTCTCCACAATCCTCCTCAGGGTCCGGTCACCTCTTCTCGTTGTGCAGCGTTTTCTGCCACGCTTTTCCCTTCCCACAGACAGGTGTTTAGAGTTACGTCGTTGATTCAGATGGTTAGGTTAACAGCTTGTTTAGAGAACCTTTTCATGATATACTAATTTTTTGGGACAGGCATTTTGGGTTTTCATGAGCTGTATGCCATAATCATCAGTATTAAAACAATTAAAGACCTGAAATATTTCAGTTGGTGTGCAATGAATCTGAAATATATGAAAGTTTCATTTTTATCATTACATTATGGAAAATAATGACCTTTATCACAATATGCTAATTTCTTTAGAAGGACCTGTACTTCTGAATGTTTCCAAATTAAAATGGAGGCCAGAAGTTTGCCTTTATTTTGAAAAAGTCATTGATTTTATTTTGATTTTTCTTATTGGTATTTACTGTGCATTCATAAAGTACCGCATTCACTGCACTTATTCCACATTTTGTTACATCCTTATTCCAAATTGTATTAAGTTAATCTCTTTCCTCAAAAGTCTACACACAATACCCCATTATGACAACATGAAAAAAGATCTGAGATTTGTGCAAATGTATTAAAAATAGAAAATGAAGAAATCACATTTACGTATTCACAGCCTTTGCTTTGTTTATTTATTTATTAAAACCTTTATTTAACCATATAAAAACCCATAAAGATCAAGACCTCTTTCACAAGAGTCACCTGGCCAAGAACAGGCAGCACACGTCATAAAAAACAACAAGATTAGAATAAGACTTCAGAAATATTTACAAAATATATAAAACATACAGTATAACAGTAAATGGCAATAATTGTAATAAATAATTTAAAACAATGACAATTTAAGATCTAAAACCCATGCACTGTTAAGATATCCTTTGTCGGTTTTTTACAAGTTGTTGATCCACAGCAGATTTTTAAGTTTGGGCTACCTGCTGCTACAAGATTTATTATTAATTGTGATTTATAGAAATACCTTTTCTTCTTGGCATTTATGTATTAAACGAATTCAAATTATAGCAGATTTATTGTTGCCAACAACTTTTGTTTCGTTTCTTGATGCTAACATTAGCTTCTTTTGAGCAACACTTAAAACTTTAACGTTTCTTTTATAACCTGAATTTATACGGATTCCCGATGTTCACTTACCTCTGTCATGATTGAATATTTATAATTTAAAGATAAAAAATAAACTCCGTAGAAAAAAAACATTTGCATCCAACACGGGCGGATCTCGAAGCACACATTGCTACCGTGGTCAACACGTTGCTAGGCAACCCAGCGGCCCAACATAGTGGTTGCCGTGGAGATGGAGAAGAGGCGGGAAAGAACGAAGCAGAAGTTTCCGACTACCGGTAATCTACTTTTTCAAAGTATTTGGTTTATAATAATTAAAATAAAGTATTATATGTTAGTTTTGATTAGGACAAAACTACTTTCACTGCAAAATAAAGCAATGACTTTTAAAAAACAGATTAAAATTTTTTATTCATTTAATTTTATTTTATTTTTTTACAAAATACTGTATACAGTTTTCATAACACACATTGCACAAACCTGGTCCATTCAATTTTCCATTTTATGTACATGGTTGTAAAAACACTATAAAATAGACAATTCTGCCAAACAAACTGATGAACATTTGAACTGCGTCTGTACAAAAATGTGACAAAAGTATTATCGTGGCACATTTGGCACATTTACACTTGCAAATACAAAAAAGTACAGGACATTTAAAACCCCTCTATGTGAGAATGGCCTGCCATGTAGGAGCTTGGAAATGCTTATATTGTGAAGAAAGAAGAAAAAAAAAAAAGTCCACTTAGTATTAAACTTAAACGCTCGTTAAAGATGACGTCACGGTGTAGCTTTACAAACATCGCTGGAGTGGATTGATATTACGTGCTATTCGTCATCTTTCGTTTCTTAAGGCGTTGTCGCCAGTCTTCAGGTAGTGCCTCAAAATTGGCATTCTTTGAAGCTTTTCCCCTGGAGAACAACAAAGAAAAAAAACATTACCAGAAGAAAAGCAAGATTAAAAGCAGAAATTAATGGCACGAATTCAAGTACACAAACAAAACCTGACAGAATAGAAACATACGTCACGAGTTGCTGTTGTTTCCAGTCCTCGATGCTCTTTTTGTTGAGCTGCTCTCGGTCCTCATCACTGGAGCTGCTCTTCTCTTCTTCATCTAACTCTTTCTGGATGCTCTGCCACTTCTTTACTAGCGATGGCATTTTCGTCTTACTCTTCTTTGACTATACACATGGTAGAAAATGAGTGATATTTTAAAAATAATAAATAAATTTTCATACAAATGTGAAATGTGTGTGACCTTAATGTCAAATCAAATGCATGGATTTAGTAACAATAATACTAACCTTGTCTTTTTTTAGTTTCTTAGTCTTGTCTACAGTTGGCGCTTTGGCTACAGGAGGTTCATAAACAGGTTGGGATGGTGGCAGTGGGGGCTGAGGTGGAACAGTTGCCATAGGTGGGGGGGGAGGAAGTTCACATTGGATTACAGGGGCAGTCACAGCTGGCATACCCCAGTATGCAGCTGCTGACATCATGGGTGCTGCAGACAAAGGCAAACCTTAAACCTTACCATCATGTAAAAACCACTGTGATTGTTCCCTCACATTGTAATTATGTAATAATTAGGTTTAGTTCAAAAAGCATATTAAATGTAAAAATAATGACCACAGAACCCAACGAGTCCAATCTGTTATTGTTTTTAGTAAAATAATTATGCTACAGAGGTCGTGTGGTTACCTGTACAAACAGCTGCCTGAGTGTAGATAATGGGACTGCTTCCAATCGTAATGGTTTTATTCATCTGACCGGCCTTACGTTTCTGACCCTTCCCCAAAGAATTTGATTCAAAAATCTGTCAAAAGAAAAAAGTTAAAACTTTCACAATCCAAATGTTAAATACTAATAAAATTAAATGTCACTGCTTCCTGACCTTCATGCCGGCAGAGCCCAACCTCCCGCTGTCCTCCTCTGTTCCGGGAGCTGGTGGCTCCTCCTCGTCGTCATCATCCATCTCCATCTCCACCTCCATAATTTCTTCATCGCTGTCAGGAGGTGGAGGAGGTTGAGGGGGTGAGTCTGGGGGGAGAGGTGGAGGTGGGGGGTTGTTGGAAGGTGGAGGAGGGCTATCAGGAAGTGGTGGTTGGGATAGGGACCAAAAGGAGGATGAACTGGGTTGAGGAGGAGGTGGTGGTGTTGCTGGTGGTGCAGCAGAGGATAATGTAGAAGGTTCTGCTGGAATAAAATGTTTTTAAAATGGGGGGGGGGGGGGGGGGAATAGATTAGTTGACATGAGTGGTGTGAGAGACACACCAATGTTGATTCTCCCTTTTGTGACCACATTCATAAAATGAATAAAACATGAAATGAAGAGTCTGACCTGTAACATCACCAGATGTTTTGGTATCTTCTTGACTCAGAGTCTGCGTGCATGGACTGTCTTTAGAGTCCTCCTCCTCGTCCTCCTCCGTTGGAAACTCCCACTGGGAGGCACCAGTCCGCTCCCTCACATAGAAATACCGCTTGTGCTCTCTAAAAATGGAACAACAGACATAGAAAACAACAGTCTCAACCAAGGCTCTTGAAACTTGCAGAGTGCCATGATACCCTGGGACAGTGGGGGCAAGGAAGCAAACATAATGGTGAAAACAGGGAATAGGATTGTTGGTATGGACAGCAATTTTAGCTGTCCAGAACAAGGGCCCAATCAGTGTGTCATTATGGGTGTGGACAGGGGACCCACCTTGCTCTCAAGAATAAATAATGCAAAACAAATCATCTCTAGGTCCTGAAAGTAGCTTTCAGCAGCTCATGGTTGTCACACTTTCTTTGTTTTAGACAACCATTCCCTCCCAGATACAGGAAGACACCAGGGAGGAAACACCACCACCATCATCGTAAACAATGGTAGCTCAGACAATAACAATCACACAATCAATACATCTTACATAAAAAAATAATAATGAAAAAACAGGAAGACATATAAAATAGAGTTGGTCTGACCTGCTGGATTCCCGTCATTGCTCCATCTTCACGTTTTGACGCATGACACTTGTTGATTCCAGGACACCATTCTTTCGGCTTTGCATTCTGGGTGTTGTAGTCCTGTAAAGTGCAAGGCTCCCCCCAAAAACACCGAGCCTTTTAACACCCACCCAATTTTTATCTCTGAATGAACCCAAACTCAGTCTACAAACGCCCCACAACAAAGGGCTTAAGAGTCAGTTACTGGGACATGGAGTCCATTCTGTGGCAGGTCTATTTAACAGGAAGCAGGCTGGCTCAGAGTGGATGCTCCCTTATTAGAATGTGAAATTCTGTATCACAGAAACCTCAAGTCTATTTCTGGAAATCCACTCGGACAGGTTAAGCTTCTCCCCAAGTCATGTTACAAAGGCTGCAACATCGGCACTGAGGGGGCGTGTTGAGACACCATAAAATGTTTGGGGGGCGAGGGAGGTTATAGATGTGAAAGGTAATGAGCGCGTACCTGTCCCAGTGGCAGGACCAGCCTTTAGGGGTGGCGTTAAGTTCATAATATTTTATGTGTTCTGCAGCTTCTTGCAGCTTGCGGCGAAGATAGACCCCATTCAGAGCACCTTCCCTCCAGTCAGCAATCCGTGTCTAAAAGATAAAGAAAAACATGGGTACAACAGCAAAATGAACCAAGAATATAGAGATAAATAAAGCTATCAGATTCACGGAAAAGATTATCAAGATGGAAAAGTAATTATAATACATTTCCAGAGGGACATTTATGATGGATTATTATGAGAGTTTTAAATATTAAGCACTGATAAATTATATGACACCAAGTGCTAAATATTTCAGAAGTCCTAGAGAGATTGCTGCAACTGAAAGCTATAAATGAACTATTCTCTTACCTCAGTTTGGAGCAGCAGTAAGTGAAAATTTGAGATTGTCTTCTTGTTTATACCCAGGAACTCCATCTTGCTAGTTAAGGTGTTAGCCAATTCTCCGATCTGAAACTACATTTTTAACATTAAAACCATGTTCGTCTGTTCTACAGAAAAAGCATCTAGCAAGTCAAGGTTCAAGGTGACTTTATTGTCATTCGCATCACATGTGGTACATGAGGTGGAACGAAATTGTGAACTCAAGGTGCCAGTTACACCCAAAAATAACAATAATATAAACTATACAAAAGAAACCGTACACAAGGATCTAAGATACACACTAAAAAATAACAATATAATATGATATATTAAACAGCAGCCTGAACATAGTGCAGAACAATAGTTAGAGTGTTGAGCTTACCTTTAGCTCAGGGGTCTCTTCCTCTTCTTTGAAAAGAAGTTTTGGAGCTAACAAATCCTCTAATGTTTCTGCCTCTTTGTCCTCTTCTTCCACAACACCTTCTAAGACTTTAGGAGGTGCTAAAAAGACAACAGAGGTACTCAAATATACAAAAACACAAGTAGCAGGGTTTAAATACTATCAACCATCATGCTTGTGACTCTCCACAATAATCATTTAAACTCACCCGTCTCTGTAGTGTCCAGTTGGTCTGAGCCTCGGCTGTTAGAGTCGGGGCTGGCAACAGACGGGAAAACAGTCTTCCATCTCTTTTTCTGTAGCAGACCACGAGATCCAGCAGCTTCTTGACTAGCCTCAGACATTGGACTGGAGCCCCCTGCGCTCCCATCACCTTCTTCGAGTGCCCGAAGCTCAGCCTAAAGTATCAGATGTTGACACGATTACATCTACGTCACTTTGACATTTAATTTGGCTGATATTCTGAACAAGTTGAAATACTACTGCTGATAGAAATAAAAGCACACCCTACATATAATGTTTGGGTGGAAAGTGACATGTTATTGAAATGAGCCTGTGTGTGTTTTATGAATTTAGATCATTTTTTTACTTTGTGGTGCGAGATGTACAGGTGGATGAATGTGCAACTTTGTTAGCTTGACAAACCAGTGAACATGACAGTAAACTAACTTAATAACCATGTGATCAGAAATTTCATGTAAACATATAACTTATTGTTGAATAATTAAGAGGTAGTGTCTTAAAGAAAATAAAGACAGCTTGAAAATAACTCCCAGTAGTTATTGAAGACCATGAAATTCCCACCTTCTTCCTCTCCAAAGCCAGCTCAAGGTCCACCGTGTCTTCTTCTGGCTCCTCCTCAGCATCCGAGTTGTTTCTTGATAGCTTCTTGGTGCAAACATCTTTTTGGACAGTGGCGGCTAAGTCAGAGTCCATAAAGGGTATAGGAGATCCAGCAGGTTTGACCCCCTCTCCATCAGAATCCAAACTGTTCTCTGTCTCATCCAAATCCTTAAGCAATCGTTTCCTCCACTTTTCTTCTGCTTCTTTTACTTCAGATGGGATCAGTGGACCAAGGAGGGATGCAGCTACTCCTTGACGCTCCTCCTCTTCACTTGTAAGACCTGTAACACTTTCTATTACCTCCTGTTAAGACAAAAACAAGAACAGTACGTTTAAAATTAAACTGGCAAGTCTTTTAAAAATACAAAAACAAGAATATTAATATTAGTCTAAATGAAACTTGCCTTCACTTTGGTCTCTTTAGCAGCTGTTGGGGTGGCAGCAGGGGCAGGATTTTCTTCTGTGCAATAACCTGCATGGACCGAGCCATTTCCATTGACACTAGTGCTACAAGGAAAATCAAAAACACTCCATTGACAATACGATTCCACTAGTAGAATAAAATTAAAGAATTTGGAATGCATAATGTGCTAACTCCTGTTATTACATGTTTTGCAGTTAAATATATAGTGTTCAAGATACTTTTCTCCTACCTGTTTGCATAATGACCCAGACTTTGCACCTGATCAGCCAAATAATTTGGCAGTTCCCAAGACACCTCGTTGGTCAGAGTGTTCCAGTAATAATAACAACCAGAATTATCGTCCCATACTTCCTGCCAGTCTCCCATCTCCACACCCACTGGAACATAAGGACATGAATTTTGAATATTTTTGAAACAAATTACAGCATAATGCATTAATGCTTTCAAACAATAATTCTATAGCTCAATGGAGTTGACCCATTACTATAAATTTAAAAAGATGAAAACAGCAAATCAGAATTGAAATATGTGCTGTTTTGAAGTCAAGACGAGACAAATCCTCTGGGAGAAAAAAAAACCTTGAATGTGAGTTTAATTTTATTGAAAGAACTGGAGAATAATAGTTTAATATACCTTTTATTTTTCCCAACTTAAATGTTTTATTTTTGATAACCAGTGTGTGTGAACAATACTTGACGCACCAGAAAAACCAGCTTTCACAATCATCGTCTTCAGGCAAAATTTAACAGTGGTTGCATCAAAACGTATATACCATGACAGGAGTAATGTTACATTTTTAGCTAATGTTCACAGATTTAACTTAAAAAGAGTTAAAACTACTTAAACTGGCTGCAGTCTGTAGTAAGAAAAAAGTCAAAAAAGTTATTCGTTTTGAACAAGCTCTGAGCTGGCCTTAACATCATTAATAAAAGTGTATTGGGGTAAATATCAAAACACTGCTTTCAAAGAATAACCCATTATCAGCTGGCAGCTATTGCTTTTGAATTAATATAGCTGCAGTGTGAAAGTACTTTATCTGAAGAGATGTAATCTATAATACATGGCAATTATTCATTTAAAAAACAGATAAGACAGTTACCTCCAGCTAACGAGTACTGTGTATTGTACTCAAACTCTGTGCTTTGCTGATTCTGCCCATCTTCCTGAGCTGGCTGCTGAGTTTTATCTTCAGGTCTGGGTGGGGTTGCATTCGAAACAGGGGCAGCTGCATCGTCTGTACTTGGCTGAGTTGTGATTGCATCAATTTCCTAGAATGCCAGAAACCGTAACAATTACAAGTTGGGTTAAAAAAAAAAAAATCAGTAACGATAAGAATCAACAGCCTTCTAAGCTTTATGAATTATGCAAATTGAAGACTTTTTAAAAGTCATAACTTAAATACTATATATTTGACAAAAAAACATGATATGCTTATAGTGTTAAATTTATAGTGATTTGATTTAAAATCAGTTCAGCTGTACTCATCTGGTGGACAAGTTAAATTTGACAGCATAAATCAGAAAAACTCTTGAACAAGTCTAGACCTATCAGTGACAATCACCAAAAGGTTAATTACTGCAATGCTCATCTTATTTACAAGAGCACAGCATGATTAGAGCTGCATTTATTTCCGTTTTGAACAATACAATAACTCTAATATAAAAGGTAATAAAGCATAAAGCATCTACCCATCATTATTGTAAACTCCTTATAAGTTAATGAACACTCATGTTACACTCACAGCCATGAAATTGGCCAATGTACTGTCAATGTCTGCAGGCTGGCTGTGTTGAGAACGAGCAGCTGAACGGTCTCCATCCTCTTCATCACTGTCCTCATAGGCCCCAAGCAACGACAAACCCTCTAAATGGAAAAAGAAATACAACTTTGTTCAGGTCAATAAAAATAGTTTAAACATTAAATGACCCCGTTTAAACACAAGTTTTTAACTCACCTGTGGCTTTTACTGCGGGTGTCTTCATATTGGCGCGTCTCACGAATCTGTGTCCATCACCATCCTGCTCTTCTGCACAGAAACAGTCAATACTAAAAGTTAAAAGTTGAGTGGCAGACAGCATTCATTGCAAACACTCACAGGGCTAGCAACAGAAAACAAATGAGGTACACGGGCACCTTTCCCTCTCTCGTTAAGAAATCCAACTAAACGTCACAAAACTTATGCTATGCATGTTGATTGAGTTTTGCTTGGTTGACACTGTTCTTTATTATTGGTCTATTTTCGGGCCTGCTAGTAGCACAACAGGATTTTAATCGCTAGCTCAGTACGCTAGCTTTGGTGTACATTTTTAAATTAATAGTTTTAATCAGTAAGCACACATACGCAATTTAAGAACAGATTTGCACCAAGTGCAAAGTAAAACTCCGGTCAGATAAACTTCTTTATCTTTCTATTAACACGTAGGCCGAGTTCTCGGGCTTTAACCTTACTAGCACTGGGTTGGCCCTTAGCTGAAACGCTACTGTGCTAACATGCTACTAATAGTACCATCGGATCCCGAGTTCGCTTCTTCCCTTTCTCCTGCAATCCCACCGCGATTCCCGGGAGGAGAAAGCTGTAGGATTGTTCTCCGGCCAACGGCTCCTCCTGAAAGACGACTTTTCTTCCCCATTACTATTGTGTCTGCTGGAGGGAGTGCTCCTAGCTTCTATGTCGATGGTTGAGCTCAACTAAGCTAACTGCACGCGAAAGAAGCGTCGGCGCGCCGACAACATCCGGGTCACGGGGTCATATTTTTGTTAAGCCGCTAGCTAGCTGCGTCTCTAATGATTGTAGGAAGCATAACCGTTCAACCTCAATGAAGCCCGATTATTAATACGTTTTTCGAGAATTTCTTATGGTTTGAGGCTCCAAGTGACAATAACGAGCCGAATTAGTCGGGGGTAGCTAAAAATATTCAATATGGGAGGCGAAGAAAATGGATTTTGCAGTTCTTGAGCGGAGCCACCCACTGTGAGATGTCTGACTTTAAGGATCCGCCACAGAGTCACCAGTTCACAGAGCTCCAAGGAGGATCTAAAGCCAATATCAGGAACGGAACAGACAGGATGGGGGCTGCGATGGGACCGATTCTTCACTGGCTGCAGGATGTAGCAGCTGTGACCCTCCTCAAAGCCCGACGGACATTACTTCAGGCCGCCATCCTTTTTTGCACGTTAGTTCTGCTGCTTTGGGTGTCTGTGTTTCTCTACGGAAGCTTCTATTACTCCTACATGCCCACTGTGAGCTTCTCCACCCCTGTGCACTTTTTCTACACCTCTGATTGTGATGCTGCAGAGGCAGGTCTCTGCTCCTTCCCCACAGCCAACATCTCATTCATGAGGAATGAAAGAGACCAGGTGATGGCCAATGGTCAGCCTTACAGAGTGTCTCTGGAGTTAGTGATGCCCGAGTCTCCAGTTAATGAACAGCTGGGTATGTTCATGGTCAGGATGTCTTGTTACACCAAAGGTGGGAAGATTGTGTCATCGGTGGGCAGATCCACAATGCTGCATTATCGGTCTTTCCTTCTCCAAACCCTGAGCACTTTATGCTTCTCTCCTCTCCTGCTGACTGGGATGGCTGAACAGAAGCAACTCATCGAAGTTGAGCTCTACTCGGATTACAAGACAAACGCTTATGAACCCACTGTTGGTGCAGTCATTCAGATCCAGTCCAAGCAGGTCCAGATCTACTCATCTCAGCTCCGCATCCATGCTTACTTCACTGGTATACGATACCTTTTGTACAACTTCCCCTTGACGTCAGCAGTGATCGGTATCTCCACCAACTTTGCCTTCCTCAGCGTCATTGCACTGTTTGGCTACCTGCAGTTTATATGGGGTGGGCTCTGGCCTCCGGATCAGGTCCGAATCAGGGTCATGATGGGAGACAACACTCGCATCCAGAGGAGGAGAGAGGAGGCTCGGAAGCGAATGGAAAGAGAGAATTCGCAGAAAGAACTCAGCTCTCCTGCAGAAATTGGATCAGTGAATGGGACCGATGGTCTTCAAGGAAATGGCGCGTTAGCAGAGATGTCATCAGAGAACCCTTCTGAAAACCCAGATACCTCTGGGGCTGAAGCTCCAGATAACAAGGAAGAAGAGTCTCGTGATTCTGAGGAGCACGGGGACACAGACAGCTCAGATGTGTTGAATGGAAGCCTTCCATCTCAGTCTGGAGAGACATTAATTCGCCAGAGACCCGGGCCTTGGATGAGTCTCTAAAGTATAATTGCTGCATAATAAATACCCTCATGTTGCATATCTACTCCCATCCTTAGCACCTTAAATACACTTCATCTAACATAGACTAAATGAAACCCACAGTTCAGTGACATTTACATGTTTGAGATATAATGTGGTTTTGTCTTGATAACAGTTTGTCTTTGACCTCTGTGTGAATGTTTTTCTTTTATCACAGCACTGTTACAAGTCTTATTTTTGTGCTATTTGAGTTTTGCTGGTGCTCATATCAGGAGGTGTTACATTCCAGATCTGACATATCCTTCAGTGTTGTATCATCAGGTGTTTGCCAACAATTCAACGCGCCCTTGTTTAAAAGTCAGCTGAACCTGCTTGTGTTTGATGTCTGCATGGTGGTGTTTTCTCTCATCACAGCCTACTGTTCACAAATAAGGAAAAGTTAAAAAAGTCTTCACGTTAAACTAGTTCTAAACAGTGACGCCATTGATTTTAAGCTCAAACATGGTCAGACTTGAGGTTTTTGATGGTGTGCAACTGAAACAAAATTGCTAAGCATGTGACTGTTTTTGATCAGAAATTTCAGAGCAATTTGATTTGGACATTTGATTTATGAAAAGGGATCTTTGTTAACAGATTCCTAGAAAAAAAGCTACATTTGTACAACCAGTATGTTTTTGTTTCCATGAAAATCTGTGTTCTGTCTCAGTTCATTTGTGACTTGAAGGTTGTGTACTTTTACACAGTAGCTTTTGCAGTTTAAAGTTTTTAAAATGTTTTTTTTTTTCTGTTACCAGTAGACAGAGCAATTTAAGTGAGTTAAGATTGAAGTAATGTAAGTTCATGAAGAAGTGTCTGGATTTAATATAATATAACAGGATTGGTGAAGTTACAGTTTTGAAGCAGCTGAATTCCAGCAATGCAATTTTTTTTAACGTAGTAGCATATTTAACCTGTACTTCAGGGGAGCTCTGAATTAAAGCTTTTTTGGTAGATTATGTATAAATTGTGTTTAATGGATTCAGGATTTTGAACCGAGATATTCTCTCATGTGTTGGTTCCTCTCAAGATACATGGCACGTGTTATTTCTGCATTAAAAAAAATAAAGAAATAAACTAGTGAACTTCACACTGATAGCTTTTTCTAACTGAAAAAATACTTTTTAGAAGTATTTACAAGATCATATACCTTCACAAATTTTTTCACAAAGTTTTAAGTAAACATTTTATTCCAAAGAAACTTGTTTGTTTGAGAAATACTTATAAAATTAAAGTCTTAAAATTCCTTGAAGCATGTCACCCACCTCTTTAAGTCAGAGTTTTAGTGTCATCCTATGGATACATGTTGTTTTTATTCTAAAAGACTATTTACTAGTTTCTATAATCATGACTTAGAAATGCGGCTTCTTCACCATTATTATTAAAATCTATTAATGATTTCACAAACTTGAGTTCATTTTCAAGTTTCTTTGTCATTCACATCACGTGGTACATGAGGTGGAATGAAATTGCGTACTGAAGTTCCCAGTTACACCACAAACTAGCAAAAATATAAAGTATAAAAAGAAACTATACAAGGATCTAAGATATACGCTAAACACTAATGTAAAATAATACGGTAGAGTAAACGGCAGCCCGAACATGAGCCTGTTGTGAGCAGATTGGTGTGAATACAGCCGCTTAAAGGCAAGAGATCAGCAGCAATAAAATAATAATAATAATAAAGCAATAAATATAAAATAATAAAACAATAAAATCCAAAAAATGGTTGGATTTTACCGGTACTTTTAAATCTCAGTTGAAAGCACGATAGATGAAGGAAAAATCTGCAGAGTATGGAAAAAAGATGAGTTTATTCACGATGCTGAATGAACAGGTTTGCAGTTAAGAATCACGTGTGTTTGTGAACTCCTCACCACAGATAAATCCACATGTTGATTCTTAATTTGAACAGAAAAAGAGGTCTTCGTTTGTTATAAAAACCATTTTATTTTATCATGAGGCTATAAGTGCATGGATTTATACAAACTGAATTGTAGGAAACAAAAGAGTTTCTAATAAAGTGTTCAGTAAAAAGTGTAAACAAAAGTTCTCAATTTTAAATCCTCACATTTCAAAACTGAAAAGATTTGCACCATTTTGAATATATTTCCTTGTTAAAAATATCTCTTATCACATACTGCAGAGTGGTACTTATTCTTGTTTAGAGAACATTTTCCAGATACACCAGGGGATTACGAAGCTGCACTCATTATGTGGTTCAAACCAGAAGCTTTTGGAGATGATATTAAGGCCCATTAGAGGTCTTTATTCAAAACCACAGCTTCAATCTATCAGATAAATTATGCATTTGTCAGGATAAGGAGTGCAGTAGGCGACCTCAGCTATCCATCATCTGTTAAAACCCTCATAGTTTTTATCCTCAGCAGGTACAGAAGCTATTTCAGGCTTCGTTTAAGTTCATTTTTTAATCTCATCAATAAGAGACAAGTTTCATTTGTCAGATTGTGAGCTGAGTTAATGTTATAATGGCACAGCAACAAGTGCATAGATAGATTCATATTAAAGTGTAAATTTATGCAAACACTTTGCTGAGTTTTTCAAGTAAATTACAAACTAGCCTTTACATGTGTATTATTATTATTATTTATTTTTTACATGTGCATTATAATACTCATAAAATCACATTAAAATACTGCAAGAACTCATTCTCGTAAGATAAAATGATATTTTTTTACGTGCAGTTCAGGGCATGCTACGTTTTACAATTTAAAGTAAAACTTAACCTATTCTTATACAGGCCACATTTTTTGGGACTTTTTCATATTTTGTGAGTCATCTTAAAGTGCCTGTGACATCAAAAAAATTGTAACAAATGCATTTTCAGAGAGATAACATTAATGTATAGCAAAAAATGAATCATTCACGGCGCTGAGAGGAACAGTTCTTGAGATATTTGCAGACGCAGTAACAGGAAGTGATGACAAAGGGGAACGCCTGCACATGCATGGAGCGATGCTACAATTGCTAACAACTTAGACAGTAGGGAAGAATCTGATGTTTCTTTAGATGATTTCGAGTCACTGTCAGAGAGAGACAAAGAAGATCTGAGTGTATTTTCAATGAACAAAGACCAGGAAGTCCAGAGTTCCCCTTTGATGTCACTTCCTGTTTCACTTTGACTGTGCCATGTTTAAAATAAATATGTCACAAAATGGGTAAAATCATCTATGTTATGCCAAATTGCTTAAAAAATGTTTTCTTCCACTTTTTGTATTTATTATAAATCATGTCACAGACACATCAAGTACTTGGTTTTACCAGTTTTGGTTAAAATAGCAAGATGCTCCCAGTGACACTGTTCTTTAAGGAGTCAGGATGCCACAGCAGGTGTGAGCTCCTCACCACAGCCGAGGCTCACTCTGCTCCTTGCCCTTCATCAGTGTGCTTCTCCTCAGACTGGACCTCCCCCGCTTCATCTACGGTCTCATTCCCTGCTTTCGTCTCAACGTCTTCCTGTTCGTCATCTGAGTTGTCGGCCCAGCGCCCAACCCTTCTGACTCCCTCGCCCACCACTGGGGCGTTGACGCAGGGATTGTGGTCGTATATGATAAGTTTCAAGCCGTTCAAGTGAGACAAGTTTGGGAAGTACCGTATCTTGTTCCGATCCACATCTATAATGGCCAAAAAGTGCATTTCCAGCAACACTGGTGGGAACTCTGTGAGCAGGTTCCCAGCAAGCCAGATACTTTGTAGTTCCTGCAGCTGCTTTAGATCATTCGGCAAACTACGGATAAGGTTATAACCCAGGTGCAGGGTCTTCAGGTTTGTGAGTTCACAGATAGCCTCCGGGAAGTCAGTGAAGCAGTTAGTCTCCAGCCACAATGTTGTAAGTTCCCTAAGATCTCTTACTTCTCTGGGAAGATAGTGCAGCCTGTTGTTCCCTAGGTAAAGGATGCTGAGCTGGGGCAACCTGCAAACAGCTGCAGGGAGCTCCTCAAAGCAGTTGAAGTCGAGGGCCAAGAGCTGCAGCTTCTTCAGGCCCTGCAGCTCAGCAGGTAGGCTGCTGAGGTTGTTGTCGCTCAGGTAGAGCTTCACCAGCTCATCGAAGATGCACGCAGCAACAGGCAGCCGCCGCAGCTGACGGCTGCTCAGGTCCAGAGTTCTGTCCAGCGGCATCTCCTTCAGGTCCCCCACCAAGAAGCGTTGACAGCGTTCAGAGGGAACGAAGGCGACGATGCCTCGCACGGCATTGCCCATCTTTCTCGGTTTCTCTGGTGCACAACTTTAGATCAGTGTGAGATGAGGGTTGCCCTGAATCTGTAAGTGAGTTTCGTGAAGTCCCATTAATGTTCCTTCAGCTCCCATCTGTATTTATTGATTTTTATTTTAAAAAAATATAAAAATCCAATTAGCGACAATTCAAAAAGCCTTTTAACAGTGTTAAATCATATAAAATAGGATGCAGTTGTTACATGATTATGTGATTTCAAGACTTTATGAGTGAGGGTCATAATATAGACTACAGTAATTATCACAGAAGTTTAATAGGGAAATGAATCCCATAAAAGTACATTTAAACCTACTTTCCAAGATGTTTCTGCTCATATCCACGAATCTCAGCATCTCCAACAGTCAGCCATTTGTTTATCCAACTTAATGAGCTGCAAATGTATTGTCTTCCCCGTGCTGATACTCCCTGGTGGTGTCCTCTCACTATCTCTCAGTGGTGTGGCGCTCTGCCCTGACACTCATGGCTATAGCAACCAGCAGTTCTCTCCTCCCCATTTGTGCCTAATGACTTTCCCCTTCTTCTCCAGGATGACAGAGGTGGTAGAATGAGATGGGGAGGGGCAGTGTTGGATAAAAAAGCATATTATTAATGAACGTACAGCAAATATGGTTTATATTCTGCTCTGATTTGAACGCTTCTGACTCTGTGCCACATCAGATTTGAGATGCTTCCTTCGTTGTAAATCATGAAATACTGCTGGGTTATACACAAACCAATTTGTAACAGTGCTGGGTCAAATAAGGACTGAGCTGACACTGGGTAGTTTTAACTGGTTGACTCAGCATACTGGGTTAGGTTTTCTACCAAAAATAAAGGGGTTATAATGACTCAGTTAATCAAAGATAATTAGGTGATTACAACTTGGGTTGGTGCTAGCTAGCTGGCACAATCCACTGTTAGCATCTGTTTGCTAGCTCTTCTGGTTATTTTAGGAAACCAAACTCTTTTAAGTGCAAACTAAACTTATAAACTAAAGACAACCAGGTTGAATATCTTCTTACATGTTGTTTTTACCATCGCACAGGTCCGACTGGTCAACTTCTGCTATAAATGTTGGGCTGTGACAAATTTCCCGCCTTATCTCCGACCCAACAACTTTTTGATGCCGCATGTGATCAAACCAAGTGAGCCTATGGCCCAGGAGTTTTAATTTTTAATGAGTTATCAGAACAACCCAGCAGTTTTCAGATCGCAATACTTTTATGTATTTTTTGTTCATATTAAGCAAAGAATAAAGAAAAAAGTTGTATGGAAGAGCTGGGGATTTTCTGCTTCTCTGTACTGTCGTACTGTGCGTTCATTGTTAAACAGTGTGGTCATTGTTCAGTCAAGACAACTTGCACAATACTGATTTAATTTTCCATGTAGGTTCAATAACAATACATGGACAACAGTTTCTTACTTATCTTTCTTTGGAGAGCAGCAGAGTGTTCACTGCCTACCAGAGGTGTAATCTGTCCATGTGATCCTGCATACGTTCATTAGGGTTATTTTCCAACAAGATAAAATGGAAAGGAATTTTGTTTTCCTTATCGGCGGGGGCAATACTTGACCCCCATCTGCTTTCACTCACGGGCACACTGTTTATAGCACTTCCCTGCTTCCACTTACTGTGAGAGGGCCTCAAATAGCCAAACTACAACTCAGACCGAGGACACAACTAAAAACAGAAAAGCCCATAGATGTGGATAAAAAGGATTTGAAACCAGTAATTTCTAACTTGGGTGTACAGTGGTTTTTATATAGTTCAGTTAAAATACTTTTGCTTTCATTTACAAGCATCATAAGTACCAATTGGGCCTGCAGTCCCCATTATCTGCACTGTCTTTGTATTTGCTGTTTACTGCTTGACTAAATACACATACATGTGGCACGCAACTAAAATAATGAAAGTCTTAAAATACGTTCTTACTTTATGTTCCTATTTAGACCAGGACACACAAGAAATAGTTGTTCTACCGTCTCCATATTTGATTGCTTATCGGTTTAAATAAAATAAAAATAAAACACCCAGCAAAATATCTAAACTTTAAAATGTATGCACATTCTTAAAACAATTCATTGCAAATCTCAATGCACAAATGTCTTTCAACATCAATGTGTACAGGTGCACTCCAAGAAAGCAAAACTGACACATTTGTTCACCTGTATAGCAAGCCATTTGTGTATTTATTTAATGTTTTTGATGAAAATGTCACTAGTTCATTCATTCAAACTTTATTTATACAGGTTAATCCCATTGAGCCTTGGGGAATCATTTACAAGAGAGACCTGATTTTAACAAAGAATGATGTCAACAGTGGACAACAAACACAACAGAAGACAATTATAAAGGATGCATACAAATTGAGAAGAACAAATGAAAATAAAATGGTATTAAAAAAATGAGAATCTTCACCAACATATTAAAAAAATGAAAGAAAGAAATAAAAAGCTAGGTTGTAAGGCGATGTAGAAAACTAAAAACAGGAACATGTCTGCGTTGGTTTTTGCCATGAACTTAACAGATGTTTGAAGCCACTTAGAGAGGTCAAGGTTGAGAGCTTCAGATCTTTTTGTAAGATATTCCAGGAAACAGAAGCGGAGTAGGAGAAGGCCCTTTTGCCAAGTTCAGTCCTCACTGAGGGAACACTGCAGGTAATAATGTCCTGAGAGCGCACGCTGTAGCTGCACTCACGCAGTGACATGTAGGAGGAGATGTATGAAGGCAGCAGACCAAGAAGTGATTTAAAGATGAAAATGTACCAGTGGGAGAGTCTGTGTCAAGTTAAGCTTGTAGGAGCGTTCATGTAAATAATGTCACTGTATTCAATGGAGGGAAGGAAAGTCACAGTTACAAGACGTTTCCTAGCGTTCAGAGTTAGACAGGATCTATTTCTGAAAAAGAAATGCAGTTTAATTTTCAGTTTCCTTACCAAGTTTCCCACATGGAGCTTAAAAGAGAGATGCAAATCGACCAAGATACTCAAATATTTGTAAGAATCGACAAACTCAATAAGGACACCATTGGAGGATAAAATTGAAGGAAGAACTTCTGGGACCAACTTTCTGTTTGAAAACAGCATCCATTTGGTTTTGTCAGCGTTTAGGATAAGTTTGCGACAGAACAAATCTGACTGGATGATGTCAAATGTGGATTGTAAAAGCTGGAAAACCTTAGCAACTGTTTTAGCTCGACAATAAACTGTATCATCAGCATAGAAAGTAAGGTGTAATTAGTCACACTGTCAAACAAACACTAATTAGAAACACTTTTTTGCTAACCAGTGGCACCTTTGCCTGACTAGTTGAAGCAGAACACATACTAGTCATCCATTGTATCACAGTCCATGAAGGGACTGGATGATAAGCGCAGGCAGACACATGGAGCTCGAATAAAATAAAACTAGTTTATTATATAAATGAAAGCAAAAGCTGATGTGGCAACAACTCACAAAACACAGGAGAGCACAAGATGGAGGACAGAGACATCTGGCAGGTAGACAAGACAATGACCCGCTGTAGGAGTGGTGATCAGAAATGGCTTAAATAGAACAGGGGTGGATGAAAAGTGGCAGCACCTGGGTGATTAATCATGGAACACAGGAGGGAGTGGTAACTGACTGAATAACAACTGAGGAGGCTGACCAAGGGTGAAAATGAAAACTGACAGGGGGCTGAATCCAAACACAAGGGACATAAAGATATAAACTACAAGGAGAAACAAATCTAATGGATAAACTGAAGGGACTAAACAAATAACAGAAAAACACACGTGTTTCACAAAAAGCCCACAAGTCCCAATTAGTTTGCTTTTTAAAACACCAGAGGACCACTGGACCAAACTAAATGATGACTGTGTCAAACAAATTACTTCGTAAGCATAACTATCTCATTTGTTAACTAACTATTCATCCATCCATCCATCCATTATCTTTACCCGCTTGTTCCATTTTGGGTCACGGAGGTCGCCGGTGCCCATGTCCAGCAATCACTGTGTGAGGAGCGGGGTACACCCTGGACGGGTCGCAAGTCCATCACAGGGCCACATAGAGACAAACGAGACAAACAACCATTCACTCTCTCACTCACACCTAGGGACAATTTAGAGTTACCAATCAGCCTAACATGCGTGTTTTTGGTCTGTGGGAGGAAACCGGAGTACCCGGAGAAAACCCACGCATACACGGAGAGAACATGCAAACTCCACCCAGAAAGGCCCCCGGACCGGGGTTAGAACCAAGGACCTGCTCGCTGAGAGGCGGCAGCTCTACCAGTTGCGCCACCGTGCTGCCCTGTTAACTAACTAGTCAACCCAAATTATGCTCACTAGTTGACCAACGAGTCAAATGTGTGCGTCAGTCAACTGGTGAACCAGTTGACCTGCTAAGACTTTTTGTTCTCTATTAGTTAGCTAGTAGAGCTGTAAAATGTCAACGTGTACTAGTTCACCTAAACTGTCGACTATTTTCCTGCTAAGACTCTAGCAATGTCGACGTTAGTTAGTGAGTGTTCTGGGGCTCACTTGTTAACTAGTAAACTTTTAGGAACATTAGTCAACAAATTGACTTTCATTAGGTCATACTAGACGACAAGTGTACATATTTGGTGCAGCTGTGGCTGAGTGGTTAGAGCAGTCGCCCTCCATTGGGAGAGTTGGGGGTTTGATTCCACCAGCAGTCACATGTTGACGTGTCCCTGGGCAAGACACTGAATTGCCTCTGTTGTGTTTCCGATCAGTGTATGAATGTGATCTAAAGCATTGGTTAGTCTCTTTAAAATGATTTGTTTATCTATGTAGAGATATAGTAGAGTGCTGTATGAATGGATGCAACTGGGACCTTGTGTACATAATTTCGCTTCACCCCATGTACCACATGAGGTGCGAATGACAATAAAGAAACTCTGACTCTGAATGTGTGTGTGGAGGTAAATGAGGGCACAGATTGTGTTGTAAAGAGCTTTGAGTATCTTGATTAGATAAAAGGTGCTACATAAGTGCAGCCCATTTACCATTTGACAGTCACTAGTCGACTTGTGGCTTTAATTTGTGATGACTAGTTACAATGCAAGAACTGTTGGTGCTTACTAGTTTACTTTTCTGTCACGGTTGTTGACATGTTTGGTCAAGTGCTCCACTAGTGTGGTAAATAGTTAACTTGGGACTTTTGGATGACTAGTTCAGCAAAATGGCTGATCAGTATGACTTCTGCTCCAAGTATTGGGGAGCTGTCTCTAGTTGACAAAAAAAGCTTTCCTAGCATTAAACTAATGCACAAAAATGTTAAATATGTGCAGCTGCAATGCACCGGTAATCATAAACTACAGAGCAAAAATTACACTTGACACTAAGCGTGTCAAATAAAATGTTATCTTTCATGAAGTATCCTGGTGGAGTCAAAGTTGTTCACACACTCATGAAAACTTTTACTAGTGTGGATAAAAGACCATCTGGTCACTTCATTTATGTTTTAACCAAGGATCTGGAAAGTTTTAAAGGAAGAGAATGAGAACAAAGGAGACAAATGGGAGGAGGAGAAACAAAGGCATGGAAACAAAGAGTGTCAGATGAAATTTACTCAACTATTGCTAAACTTATCCTTGAGTAAGTCTAAATTGTGCATTTGAAGCTTAAAGTGTTATATGGAGAAAGAATGGGCAAAGGTAAAGATCTGAGAAACTTTGATAAAACCCAAAATATACAGTTTCAGGTCCAACCGCAACCTATGGTACGGAGGAAAAAAATATAGTCAAGACTCAAATGCACATGAGATCAGTCCCCACCCCCCACCCACACACACACACACACACACACACACACACACTATTGATTAATTTTATTTTCACCCCTAGGCAAAAATATGATACAAAACAACATAAGAACTATTCCACCAGTCATCTCATAACCAGTCAGATAGATAGATAGATAGATAGATAGATAGATAGATAGATAGATAG